AGCAGGCAGTGAGGCGAACGATGTAGAGCTGGCCATACCCACCCAATAGGCCATACCCACTCCATCCACACCCACCCAGTAGGCCACACCCACCCTGGCCACACACCCCCAGCCCCCCCAAGGGTAACCACAATGCTGATGCGGCCCTCAATGAAATTGAGTTTGACACCCCTGCTTTAGATTGTTTAGGGAGTTGTGACTAATATTTACTGCGAACGCTTTGGATTAAAAGTGTGAGTGTTTGGTTAATGCTTGCCAGCTAGGAAAATGAATGATAGAGTGGTAGAAATGCCAGTGTTATAATTGTATGTACATCTTTGAGGCACAGATATGGTATCATGCTAAGCTAAAATGTGTTGACTTTGCTTGGGGTTTAATCTGAAACCTCACTGTGATTTGTGATTCATTTAATAAATGATGGTTTAGTTTGTTGTATGAACCGGGCTCGTAAGTAAAGATTTGCGAACATAGATTTTTAAGGATTCAGACTTTGAAGAATGTGACAATTTGAATGACTTTTGAGAAAGAAAATAAAAGAAAACCAGCCTATCTTAAGTTATTTTCTCTGCAATATAAATAACTTCCAAAATCTCAGTACATGGAAGCTTTCTTTAGTGTTTCCTCATTTGTGAATGCAAAGCATTCTGCTCACACTGAGAAGTATTTTTTTCTTTAATTAATGTGGTTCATTCTGGTTCTAATGAGACCAAATTAAGCTCTAACAACAGCTGCCTTTGTTTCAGCTATAGGTATCAAATTCTTTGGTATTTTAACACAGATACAAACTAAAGGCAACATTAAAATGAAAATTGGCAATTCTTGTTGTAGGATAACTATATCACATGTGGCAATACAAGCAAAATGCTGTGCCCTACAAATTGTTTGAATTATTTATAACACTATTTGCAGTGGGATGGTACAGACATATTGGTGGCTTCAGTGCTCTTAATTGGTTAAAAATCAGATCTATTCTTAGGGGTGTTGTATTGGCTATATACTGTATATCAGTATCATCCCAGGGGAAACATCCTTTGTGTATTTTTTTGATATGTACACAACTTTCTTTCCTTGATCATGTTTAAAGGAAGGGTGTGCAGAAGGCAGTTTTCCCATCAACTATTAGCTGATCTTCCTGAGACATAAAGCCATTTTTTTCTTCTGTCCTTGGAGGAAAGTAATAAAGAGCATTGATTAAACCCCAATAGAGGGTGTTCATAAAAAGCTGCTAAAGATATACGGACATGGTTGTGTAATTCCACCCCCCCCCAATTATAGGTGGTAGAATACTTGCTGAAGTAGTTTATTAGGAACAACCTTTTAAAAGACTGTGGTGTATATTTTTACATTCAAACATGGCAGGTATAATTGTATGTGAAAAAGACCTTGGGAGACTGGGCAAAGAGAGGCAGACAAGAGGCAGCATAGTCTGCAGCTAGTGGTTGAGGCAATAGAGACTCTAATTTCTCAAGCTATAAAGATTTCAAATATTTAGTGTAGTTTTACAATAACATAGAAATCACTCATCTCGTTGGGGTTATAGTTCCTAACTAATTCCTACCATAAGGCCAGCATCAATTTTGCAAGTATCGAAGTATAATTCTCAATCCCCATCTCCTTTACAGCCCAAGTAAATATGCTATACTATCTCTTAACTATGCTGTGTTCCCTTGGCTGCATCTCTCTGCCCAGCCTTCCAAGGTGTTTCTCACATGCCATCTCGCCAGGTTAATAAGGAAAAATTGAGGATCCTTTTCTCACTACTGACTCAAAGTGCAATGTGTGTGGAGAGGGGCTTATAGAAAATCAGGATTCAATGTTTGGAGGTTGACCACTATGAGACTTAGAAAGTAAAAATCTAGAGATCTGACCCCAGACTTGTTTTGCTCTTGATGTAAAGCATATGATGAATAAGAGAAAGCATCATCAAAACTGCAATACTGAGACACTATTGTAGAACATACAAAGAGAGTTTTATTGCCTTTTATAAAGAAGATTGCACTGTATTATTCATAAATGTATAATACACAAAAAGGAAATTAAATAAGGCACCAATTCCAGAGTTACAGAAAACATTAGGAATAGAAGCTTTATATCTCATAAGGCATTACATTGTGATTCATTAAAAAGTTGTGTAGGAAAAAGAAAGGGAAAGGGAAAATTACCTATAAGTCTACCATTTGTTCCCTATTTCTTTACCAGATTAAAAAATATTGAGCAACATTATAACTGAGTTCACATTATGGCTTATTCAATGTACAAGGTCCACCTATGTACCTATAGATACCCAAATTGTTTTAGTATCATAGAAAAAACCATGACATGTTTTCTGAAATTGAGCTGTTATTCAAATTTATACTTGTGTTACATTTATTTTAGGAAATTGTATTATCAGTAAAAGTTTCAAGACGCCAGGTGCCTTTCCTCTTTCTGTATGATGAACCTCATTTTGCAGAATACACATCTAAGATTATTATATTACTTGGCAATACTACAGTACATTTACTAGTCTATGGATTAAATCTTTCTCCTGCCAGTTTTTTTTCTGAAACTGGAACAAAGTAAATTCTATTTTGTTTTCTTAAATTGTCTTTACAATTTAAAGATTGAAACACTATGTAATTTAAAATTCATTCATATAATCTGAGGGAAAGTAAAAAAGAAAGAAAAATGTATTATCTATCAGCATATTAATTGTATATGTAATGAATAGATTTTTTTTAATCCCCACTCAGAAAAAAAAGCCGCATTGTATGTTAGTAAAAGTTAATAACATTCTCATAGGATATACTACATATTTTTGTCGCCATGAAATGTAGAAACTTGAAAAAATAAGGTAGAAGATTAAATGTCCCTCTCTAAACAGGCATATGTTCTTTGTCCAACTAGCAATAATCTCCTTTCTATGTATGCATTTAGTAGAAAATGCAAAACCATCAGAACATCACATGCAAATTTTTCGATATATTAGAAGCTGGTTTTATGCAAAGTATGTTATTCTTAGCCTGATTTTAAAGATTCCTAAACAACCTGTCTTGTTGGGTCATTGTTTCAGAAATATTTCCTTATCTAAACAGAGAAAAAGAATGACCAATGGCAAAAAAAACTATTGGAAGTGGGAATGCCTTCCAACTTCCTGCTAGCTGACTGCCCTCTTGTAGCCAATGATGGGACAGTTTACCTCAGACCTGGGTATTATATGGCCTGTGGGCCACATCCAGCCTGTGGGTAGTTCCATCCCACGGTATTGGCAGACTAGGCAGTGGGGGGGACGAGGCATCAGCAGTGTCAGGGGTAGGGTATCAGTGGCGGGGGTGGGGCACAAGAGTTCCTTGTTTCTCATATTTGATTGCCCACCTGGTCTCCAGAGGGCTAGAAAAGGGATCTACCTGATCTCCAGGGCCAAAGGAGAGATTGGTTTATCTGGCCTCCAGAAGACCAGGGTGAAACTAGTCTATTGAAACTCTGGTTGGCAATTTAGCAGTGCAGCAGCACTGAAGCAACCACAAATTTCCCAAATTTCAATCCCATGGATATCCTAGATTTTGGACACATTCTGTTGACTAGCTCATTTTAGGTACTTTGGTTCAAAAATGGTTGCCCCATGATACACTCTGTCACCTAGACATGAGAGTTTTACTAGTATTTACTATATTCACTTCATATTTACTACAATCACTTTCACATGTGATTGTATTCTTAGACAATTTTATATCTGCTTACTTCGAAATAAGTCTCTGGATTCAAAAGGACTTTAAATTCAGAGGCTTATTTGACATTTTGAGAATTTGAGGTTTCAGATCCAGCTTTCCTTCTACTGTAACCACTTTGGTGCTAGTAAGGTATATTCTTGGCTAAACATGGGCCAGGAGTCTTTCTTTTCTAACGGACCAAGTTGGGATGGCTGACATTTACTGTAATATATCAATACTACTATTGCTTATCTCCAGTAATTATGAGCAAGTTAAGAGAGAGAAAAGCAGAGAGATTTGAGGCCTAACAGAGATTATGATAATGAAGTATCTTTTTTTAAAAAAAGAATAAATTCCATAGTTCATTACTATGCTATTATTTTCACAGGCTCTCTAATTAATGTCTAGATATCTCTGTGAAGGAATCTGTAGCCCTCCAAATATAGTAGAATAACTCCTGGCATCCCTATTCATAACCTATACAAGAATATGGTAACTCTAGTACAAGACAGTAGAAATCACTAGTATTTTAGTTAATTATTTTGCCTTCCTTCAAAAAACGATGATAAAAAGATTGGGTTTCTTTTTGATATTATTGTTTTTGTGCCTTCAATTCAGTTTTTGACTCCTGATGACTGACAGAACTAGAACCTGCAATTTCCTTGGAAAGATTTTTGGAATTGGTTTGCTCTTGCCTCCTTCTTAGAGAGAGAGGGACTGGCCCAAGGTCACCCAGTTGGCCTTGTGCCAAAGACAGGACTAGAACTCATGGTTTCCCAGTTTCTAGCCTGGCATACCTTTAACCATTACACCAAACTGGCTTATATAGAGAAATTAGCAAGTGAAAATTATATATTCATAACCACCGTTGCAGTGTAAGCAATGATTCAATTGCTCTGAATATAGCACAAAATAGAATCTAATAAGTCAGTGTCCATTTGCAATCTGCTGCAGCATCGAGTGCTTTTGGGCACATGTGCTTTAATTCGTTGGCTGACCTTTTGACTAACTGTACATTGCATCATTAATCAAACTGTTTGTGCATACATACCTTGAGTTAATATTTACTAAGAATTTTCTCTTTCAAGAATCTGAAATGTCAATAAGCCTGTACTGCTAATTCATCAGTAGGACTTTCCTCTCTTTAAATAATCCTTTCTATCTTGCCAAGTTGTTTCTTGGTAAAATGTTTGTGTATGTGTATGTGTGTGTGCACGCACGCTTTCAAATAATTTTTTTAGTCCTTTATTATGGTCTTTATATCTTTATTATGGTCAAATATTACCATAACGAGGGCAGAGTACAGTCAGTTAAAAAAACATAGAAAATGCATCAGTTTAAAAATATTAATTATAAAAAGCCAAAATATATAAAACAAAGTATATATAAAAACAAGTTGAATTCATTTGGAGAGCAGCAGATTGAAGAAAAATTATTACACTTGTTTGCCAACCATCTCTCTTGGACTCTGGGCGGCTTTCAACATTAAGTTGCCACTTTCATTAAAAAATCTATTTCAAACAGGCTGTTGCAGACATCCAAGTTTAGGTTTGGAGAAATCGGTGCGAGAGAGCACAGTTAAGCCTGGTTTAAAAGAGAAGGGTATAAAATTCGCCACAAATGATGCAAAGGCGCTGGCTTCAGCTCTCATTATTCCTCAGCCTACTCACCTCTTTCGGCGTTGGAGGAATTCTATTTCTGTTCTATTCTATTCTATTCTATTCTATTCTATTCTATTCTATTCTATTCTATTCTATTCCTCTTTCTCTTTCACAAAATGCACACAGTCAGAAAGGGTTAAACGGGCTCAGTTTTCCTGAAGCCAAATTTTGGCTCACGAGGGCCACGAAGCGTCTAATCTAGGGACGCCACACGCGTCGCCTTCCGAACAGCAGATGGGGGGAGGCGGCGGCGGTGGCGGTTCACTTGGGATCGAAACACGGAGAAACGCCCGGCGAAATAGATGCCCTTTTCTCTCTGACTTCTGTTAGAAGAGAAGGAAGAAGCTGAGGCGGCGGCGGCGGAAGCAAAGGGGCCGATCGCTTCGCAGCCGGGGTGGTTGCCCGGACTCCCTCGCCTGCTGTCCTCACAGCGCCGCCACACACAAGGGCGCCTCCCTCGAGGCTTCGGAGGCCGAGCCATTTCTTCCTGCCGCCGCCTTGAGGCGCTTTTGCGGCGCGGAGGCTTCTTCCTCCAAAGGCCGCGAGGACGGGGCGCATAAAGAAAGGTAAAGGGAAGGGGGAAGAGAGGCGGCGGGCCGCATTTCATTTGCTTCGGGTGACGCAGGCGCGGCGGGGCTGGAAAGAGCTGCTGCTTAGCGCAGTCTGGGAGGGGAAGGGAAGCATCTCTGAGCTGACGCGGCGTGTCGGCGAGGCCTTGCTGGACCTCTGTGGAGCAAGGGCAGTTCCCGCCGTTTTTGTTTTTTTTTTGTGTGTGTGTGTGTGTGTGTGTGTGTTTTTGCCCCTTTGCCTTGCGGAGCCAGCAGCAGCCAAGGCGCTGTTTGTTGTTCCTCGCAACGCTGTAAAAACAACTCTGCCCCATAGAGATAGCGGTCCGGCTTGTCGGGAAAATAGAGGCACACCCGGCATCCCGCACCGGGGATGGCCGCTTCAGCATCTTGTCGGAGGCTGGAGGCACTTTTTCGTTCGCTCTGTATTGCTTCGTGCCAAAGCCTGATCCGATCTGGAGCCGGTTGTCATTGGAAGCTATACTCTTAGCCTGGAGTATTTCAGTCTTTTTTAACTGGGCGATGAATTGAACCTCCGCCCCAAAACAGATGCGAGGTCGAGCTTTTTAGCAACGCGAATTGTACCCCTAGGCCACAAGGAGTAAAAGTGGTGGGTTTGTTGGTATTTCGTATTTCTATCTGCAAGTTGTTGTAAGAGGTTTTAATATTGAGTGGCTCAAGATGGGGAATCAGGCCAAATAACTGCACACTATACTGTATGCTCTAAAAAATGTGGCAATAGTATTTCATCCTATGCCAACAATAAAAGGTAAAGTAAGGTAATTAGGTAAAGGTAACCAGAAAACTATGACCACTTCAGGATAAATAAAATAATATGTATAAAGAGCAGACCATATTCACTATTTAAATATAAATGAGGCTTTTGATCTGCAAAGCAAGGTCTTATGATTCAGGCTGTTGGAAGTCTTATGATGTAGTAGACTATGGGAAATACTTTCTGTTCTCCCTTTCTCTTCCAGGCCTATTTGAAAGCACTGTCTTTCATTCTATGACTATTTTAGCTTTTTTAAAAAAAGCTCTCTACTTAAAAGACTATGTTTCTGGGTAATTCATACATAACTGCATAATTAATCTTCATGAACATGTAAGTCACAGATCAATAAATCAATCAAAAGTCATAGACCACTATAAGAAAAGTGGGATATAAACAATAATTTTAAAAGCTAAAAGTATAAAATATACAAAGGTAAAAAACTTTTTAAAAAGCAAATATTTAAATCTAAAAAAATGAAACTTATAAAAGGGTAGAAATAGGATTAACCTGAGGAAGCTCATGAATGCATAAGCTTTCCTGGTAAGGGTAAATTTGTCAAAATGACCAGATTAACTGTATTTTTTAAAAAGTGTTTTAAAATTGAAGCCATCCATTTGTGGTGGGTGGAGTGTAGGACTCAAACAGAATACTAAGAAAATTACTTTATTATATAGATAATCCCATAAAACCTTCCCAGTAGATTGTAAATATGTTAAAAGTGTACAGTGGAGTAAAATGAGAGCAATAAAACCAGTCAATTGCTCTCAATTCAAAGGCATCCAGAGTTTTCACTAAAAGAATTCCACCATAGCCTTTGAAAAATACTTGGAAAAGGCAAATGGTCCACAGTACAGCAGCCACCTACTTGCATCTGAGAGCAATGTAATTCAAATATTGTATGAGGATCATCAGTTACCAGTAGGTTTCTAAGTAGATTCACAGAACTGTAAATTGTAAAATCCTAATAACTGTTTTGAGTGAAATCTGCCCATTATACTCCTATTAGTGGGAGATGCTTTCAGTTTCTTATCTCCAAGGTTTGAGAAATAGAGATCAGTTATCCTTAGTAACTGCCCCAGTTCTGTAGAACTCTTTTTCCCACCTGCCACCAAAGTTCAGGTGACATCACCCCCCCCCCATTCAGGAAGGTGTTAAAATAGTGTTCTAGCCATTTGGAGACAACATTATTGTGCCTTTTTCTGTTATGGTGGGCCAGGTTGGAGTCTACTGTTGCTCATATAGTTTTTTAAGGGTTATTTTACAGTATAAGGTTGATTCTGAGTTTTGGGAGAAAGTTACTGGATCTGTTTTATGAATTTTTATTGTGAACTATCTAGAGCAGGTGTGTCTAACCTGCAGCCCATCGGCCACATTCGACCCTAGACAACTAGTAATGTGGCCTCCACAAGATGGTAAACGTTTAGCATTACTATGTGATTTATATACATTAACTTCATTATATATTTTACAGGTAGTCCTTGACTTACAACAGTTCATTTAGTGACTGTTCAAAGTTACAATGGCACTGAAAAAAGTACGGATGTTTTTCACACTTTATGACCGTTGCCAACATCCCTGTGGTCATGTGATTAAAATTCAGAGGCTTGGCAACTGACTCATATTTACGACCGTTGCAATATCCCGGGGTCATGTGATCACCTTTTGTAATCTGACAAGCAAAGCAAACAAGGAAGCCAGATTCACTTAACAACCCTGTTACTAAATTAACAACTGTAGTGATTCACTTAACAAATGTGGCAAGAAAGGCTGTAAAATGAGGCAAAAATTGCTTAACAAATGTCTCACTTAACAGCAGAAATTTTGGGCTCAATTGTGGTCGTAAGTTGAGTACTACCTGTATATGTGGCCCAAGATAATTCCTCTTCATTCAGTGCAGCTAAAGCAAGCCAAAAGGTTGGACACCAGTGATCTAGAGTTTGAAGTTTGATTAGGGTGTATAGTACTGGAGTACTATACTAAATAATACTATACTATGAAGATGCTGCCATGGAAAACAACTCTGAGGTTTCCATCAACCAGACCTTTAAATTTTTTTATGGTAATTAAACTTTTAAAACCTCACTTCAAATGCAGGCAGGGAGGAGTTATTGTTTCAAATATTAGTGGCCCTAAAATATAGGTTAACACCATCCTGGTGAATTAGCCTTTAAACAAGTTGGAAGTCGGTGTAATTGATTTAAGGCTGGTGTGAAAAAAAGTGTAGTTCAAAAAATGTGCACCAATTGCAGTTTCTAAATAGTTTCTAAAGTTGTTTTCCTCTAACTCAAAGGAAAAAAAATATTGCAACCAAACCTGACAGATAAGATATGTAACAAAAATCAATAGCAATTTGAATCAGAAAAAAACATGATCTGTGATGGTTGCACTCAGGGGTAGATAAATGATACATGTTTTTAATCTATCCTATGCTCCTTATTTTCCTTCTGCAGAGACATTATGTCTGACACTTAAGAAAACCAAATGAAATGAATGGTGAAAAAACAGGTTCAGAAAATATACGTATTTTATTTCCATTGCTTTTCTATTTTATAGAATTTAATTTCCTACTAAGCTATTGGAGTTCTACTTTGCATTCCTTTGCTCATTCACCATTTAAATCAGGGGTGTCAAATTCAATTTCATTGAGGGCCGCATCAGCATTGCGGTTGCTCTCGGGCTGGGTGGGTGTGGCCAGGATCGGTACGGCCTACTGGTTGGGTGTGGATGGAGTGGGTGTGGCCTACTGGGTGGGCATGGTCAGCTCTACATCATTTGCGTCAAGGGTGCCTGTGGGGACCTGGGCAGGAGTGGGACAGATCTGAGGGTCTCTGGCAGAAGGGGGTGGAACCAGGGCAAGCGCCAAGGCATGGTCCATTTCTTCATTCCTCACAAAGGGTGACACCTCCCTAGCATGCACCCAGGGGGCGGGGCCAAAAAGGCAGGCTGGTTCCTCGCTGTTTCTAGACGGCCTTGTGGAGCTAAGACTGAATGCATTTCAGCATAGATGGCCACCACAAAATTGTACATTGGCTCCCGGCCGGCCTGGGCCAGGGCCAAGGCAGCAGGAGCCGTTCCCTCACGTTTTCCAGAATGGCTTCGCAGGCCGCATGAAACTACTTTGCAGGCCACATCCAACCCCTGGGCCTTGTGTCTGACATGTCTGATTTAAATTGACCAAACTTTTTATCATACTTTCTTGTTTAAAGGGTTATTTATTTGGCATATATCTAATTAGAAAACTAAAAAAAATACTATAACAGTAATTTGTGAGTTAATAATTGCTCATTGGGTACTTAGATGGACTAAATCTGAGGCAGATATCACTGAATGCTAATATTTAATCTTTACTTGCACAATAAAGCAGAAATAAGTAAGGTTTCTTTGTATTAAAGTGAAATAAATGATTGAAACAAATCTGACTGCCTTTACTAAAAAGTTGTTCTTTTGGGGTGTTATAAAGGAATTTTTCTCTACTTTTAATTAACTGTTCTGTGGAAAGCACTACTCTAATTACAATATATAATCGGTTCTTGTAGCTTGTTGTCACATTTATCTGTTACAAAATAATGAATAAAACTGATCTGAACTAGCCTAAAAAACATTAAATGTCTGATTTTTATGTTCTTTATTTGAATAAAACCTCAATAATTTAGCCATACAATCAGTGGTGGGATTCAAATATGTGAACAACCAGTTCTCTGTGTGGATGCAGCTTCTGGAAGTCCATTCTGGGCCTGGGCAACAAAAAATTAGCTGATGGTTCTGCCGAAGTGGTGCGAACTGGCTGAATCCTACTACTGTATACAATTATAGTAACCTGGTGGAGGGGTTGTATGAATTGTAGGAAAAAATATCTTTTGGTTTCTAAAATTGTTATCTAGTTATTTTCATTCCCTTTTAAGAGAAAATAAATCTTGCCTCTCAGTTACATGACCTCTGTTGTAAGCAGTTTATGCCATAAATGCTGGTTAGTGAACATTTGGCATTTCAAAATCTGAATCATGTTTATTCAAATATACAATGTTCCCTTTATCTCAGGGTCAAGCCATACAGAGACATTTTGGAGTTGGGAGGCCTTAACAAATTCAATAAAGTGAATAAATATTAAATATTAGTGAAATGTGTAGAAGTGAGAGGAAAAAACATCGTTATTGTCTTGGCTTGTACATAGGCACCAAGAAATTGGAGATTTGGCATGTTGAATATTTTGCTTCACTGAAAGCTTTGAAAAGTTGTTTTTTTAATAGCCTATAGTAGGAAGCTGTTTAGTTAGTGCAGATTTATACAGTAGTTGCTTTTCCACATGATAAAGCAAAAGTGATATTTCTGTATATTAGTACAACAAAAATTTGAATTGTGATTAAAGGAGCTCCTTCTCCCAAATTTAAAGAAGTAAATTCAAAATAAAATGTAGTACTCTAGAAAAATATTAACTTAAGTATTTGTGGTATACCAAGGAAACTGTATTTGATTTAAATAGCTTGCTGCGTAGGATTGATGTGAGAATTTTGTATTCTCTTATCTGTGGGAAACTGATGAGAGAAAATATTTTTCCTTCTATCAGCTAGCAAAAACATGAGTTGTTTTATGTTGCTGTTTCCTTTCATTTCAGGAAAATTTTGCATGAGAAATAACCTTAGTGAAGCATAGATAATTAAAAGTAGAAAAACATCTTACAAAATAAATAGTTTTTTGTAGCAGTAGCTGAAAAAAAACTGAAAATTGATGGCATAATCCTGTCAACCAATTAAAGAGTAATTTAACCTTCTCTCCAAATCTCCTTTTTCAAACTGGTTTTATATATATATATTTCCTTCTGAATACTGAAAAATCCCTATTCATTACTTTACTTAGAACCAATCACTTGAGGCGGCATACTTTAAATTTAGCCGGCTAGAGGTTTTAAAGTGAATTTGACTTCAGCTCATTATGATTCTTCCATTAATGTCATTGAAAGTAGTAATTCTAAGTCTATATTCTGTATAATGTAGCTTCAGTTGGTCTAATTATATTCAAGTGGCTCATAGTTAAAAAAAAATGTGGAGGCGAATTATGGAGGAAGTATTTCTCCATCACTGATGCAAGAATTATATATGGGAAAATCACGTGTAATTATATAACAAATAATACGTTGTGAACAATCATGAAATTCCATTTAACGAGTTTTACCTCTAAATGCATTATGTCATTTTTCTTTGCATATCTATTGTCTTGACTATAGGGTCTTCTCTATTGCATTCATCCCAAAGGGTGCCTGTCCCAGATGATTATCTGTTAGGGAGGAATTGCCACTCCTGTGTCATTACAGTTCTTTGACTTACATTGGGTATAGAGTTTATTTCTGACCCAAAATCTTCCAGTGAATTTCTTGTCTAAATAGAAGGAAAAATTAAACTGATATAAATCCATTCCTGCAGAGCACCAGGGACCGGTTCCATGGAGATCCACTAATGGGGCTTTGCTTGTTTGTGTGGACCGGTACTGGTCCACGGACCAGGGGTTGGGGAACCCTGCATTACTGTATTCAATATACTCTATATGTTCCTAATGTACTAATTTCTGTACAATTATATTTTAGGAGCTTTATTTCAAGACCCTTACTAAGCAAAAACAAAGGGAAGTGATGGAGAAGAATGGAAACAATCCGAAACTTCGGGTTTGTGTTGCTACATGTAACAGAGCAGATTATTCAAAATTGGCCCCAATCATGTTTGGCCTTAAAGCAGAACCACAGTTCTTTGAACTGGATATTATAGTTCTGGGCTCTCATCTGATTGATGACTATGGGTAAGAAGCATACTTTATTTCTTCAAATATGCTTAACTGGAATTGTGGGGATGGGTTTTCTTAAGATTGTTTTCTTTACTCCAGGTTCAAAGGTAGTCCTCACTTAATGGCTACAACTGGGCCTGGAATTTTGATATTAAATCGTTGTGATCACATTTAGAACCATTTTTACGATGGTTGTAAAGCAAGTCACTGGTTCTTAAGCAAATTGTCCTTAAGCAAATTGATCCTTCTGAATAGCATTTTTTTGCCAGAAACTGGCAAAAAAGTCACAAATCATAGTCATGTGACCATGTACATTGCAACCAGTTGTAAATGTGAGCTGGTTATCAAGTACCCCAAATCATGTCATGGGGTGGAAGGTGAGGTGAAGGTGCAGCAGTTGTAACTCTGAGTCATGAGTAACTTTTTTTTAATCTGTCTTAACTTTGACCAATTGTTAAGCGACAGGTCTTTAAATGAGGATTACCTGTTTTGATTTAGAATAAATGATGAACAGTTGTCAAGGCAGATCAGAACTAATTCATATATTTGAATCATTTCCCTCTTATAATAATAGTAATTTTCCTCTTTTAATAATAACAAGGCTTACATAGAGTACCAGGTATTCGTACTTCAGATCACTATCTTTTTAGGTTCAACAATGATACAATTTCCTGCTATAACGATAGCAGCAGAAACCAGCGATAATCTGTCCTAGTTCTTCATTTTCGCAGCAAATACCGTATCTTTGAAGCAATATTTCTTCATTTGCTGAAATGTTTGCATTTCTCAAAAATTTCTGAAGACAGCATTTCTTGCTCTGTGGTATTTGGGAACAGGTGCCTTAAGACTTAACAGATGCTTGCTTATACCTACCTTGGTGGGGCACAGCAGATACAGATGGTTCTCAAATTATAACCATGTGTGTAGTGACCATTCCAAGTTACAACAGCACTGAAAAAAGTGACTCAGTGACCCTTTTTTTCACACTAGTGACCGTTTGCAGCGCCCCCACCCATGGTCACGTGATCAAAATTCAGGTGCGTGGTAAATTTATTTATTTATTTATGAGACTTATATACCGCTTTAAGTGCAAGCACTCTCTAAGCGGTGTACACCAGTAAGCAATGTGTGTATATATATATGTGTGTGTGTGTGTGTGTGTGTGTATGTATATATGTATATATGTATGTATGTATGTATGTGTGTGTGTGTATATATATATATATATATATATATATATATATATATATATGTATATTTACATTGCCCCCAACAATCTGGGTCCTCATTTTACCTACCCCGGAAGGGTGGAAGGCTGAGTCAACCTTGAGCCGGTGAGATTTGAACCGCTGACCTGCTGAACACAGTCAGCTAAAGTGGCCTGCAGGGGTCATGTGATCCCCTTTTGCAATCTTCTGACAAGCAAGATCCACTTGACAACCATGTTACTAACTTAACAACTGTGGTGACTATCTTAACAATTGTGGCAAGAAAGGTTGTAAAATGGGAATAAAACTCAACTGTCTTGCTTAGCAGTGGAAATTTTGGGCTCAATTGTGAACATAAGTCAAGGACTACCTGTACAGCCTTTAAAGAATGGTTTTATTAACAATACTTTATTAGTAGTATGGTTGGTTCCATAGTCAGGCAGATGTTTAGATTGGATTTGATGTTTTGTAATCCACTGGTTGAGTCCTTCCCATGGATCTAGGATAGGCAGATGCAGATGTTTAATGATGTTACAGATGCCATCTCAGGATGTAAGTTCTTCTGAGCAAAGCTGCCTTTTGCTATTGACTGATGGTGATTTTTGTCAGTGTCGATGGTGTTCAATTGGTGCCCCAGTTGTTTTGGGATTGCACTGAAGGCCCCTGTTGGTACTACTTTTGCTTGCTTTTGCCTCAATCTTCTTCCTATTATTATTATTATTATTATTATTATTATTATTATTATTATTATTATATTTCTTGGGATTGAAATTGTTAATATTACCCACCATTGTCAGACAAATATATTGACTGTACCATTAATTTCAGTGTATTTCAGTAACTAGCATGCTGTTGGTGTTAAAGTGTATGGCACTGCAGTCTAAGCACTTTTCCTCTTCCCTCTTTCCAGCAATACTTACCGTATGATTGAACAAGATGACTTCGACATCCACAGCAGGTTACACACAATAGTCAGAGGGGAAGATGAAGCCGCTATGGTGGAATCTGTTGGTCTTGCCTTAGTCAAGTTGCCTGATGTGCTCAATCGCCTGAAACCTGACATAATGATAGTCCATGGAGACCGGTTTGATGCTTTAGCGCTAGCTACGTCTGCTGCCTTAATGAACATTCGAATTCTTCACATTGAAGGTGGAGAAGTCAGTGGGACCATAGATGATTCCATCAGGCATGCCATTACCAAGCTGGCTCATTACCACGTGTGTTGCACAAGAAGTGCAGAACAGCATTTGATCTCTATGTGTGAAGACCATGACCGCATCCTTCTAGCAGGATGCCCTTCGTATGACAAGTTGCTGTCTGCCAAAAATAAGGATTATATGAGCGTTATCCGGATGTGGTTAGGTAAATGAGTTGCATATGTAAGACTATGATTTCATAAAGCAGAGTACATCAAAAGTTTATCTGGCCCCTTTTGGGGTTTGCCATCATAGTTGGCAGTTACAGTTGGCTTAGTGTACCAAAAATGTTGTCTTTGGATTATATATTAGAATTTATAATATATAAATTCCACAACTGCATCATGGAACAGAAGTCTAGATTAATCTTTATCAGTGTACTTTTCACGTTAGAATGTAAAAAAGGAATCTTGTTACAGGATGTTCTTGGCTTACAAATAGCATCAAGCCTGGAATTATGATTGTAAGTCATTGTGGTCATAAATTGAGGAATCACGTGACCAGATTTGACATTACAACTGTTTTTTACGACTGTCATTAAGGGAACACCATGATCACGAAGTGAATTCCGTGCTTGCTGGGTTTTTTTTTTATAATTCAGTTATTTTGCTTTTTAAGTGTGTATGCGTGCATTGTTTTTTTACATTGTTTTCACAGGTGAGGGTGTAAAACCAAAAGAGTATATAATCGCTTTGCAGCATCCTGTGACCACAGACATTAGACATTCTGTAAAGATGTTTGAATTGACTTTGGATGCCCTCATCTCTTTTAACAAGAGGACTTTGATTTTATTCCCAAATATTGATGCAGGTGAGTGAGATGACTATTATGAATATGTTAACATACTGTATTAGAAAAATGTATGTATGTGTATGTATGCATGTGTGTGTATGTGTGTATGTATGTATATGTGTATATATGTAGGTCTTTGGTTATTCAGGTTTTCTCCCGCGTCAAATTGGAAGTGTCTTGGCACGTTTAGACGAAGTCTCATTCGTCATCTTCAGGCTGGTGTTTTCGGCATCGTGCTTCTAAGAGCAATGTGTGATCGTAGCTATTTCTTCCTTTTAACTGCCAGTGGGGGTATGAACTGATTGGATGAGAGCTTGGCTGTGTTCTGATTGGATGGAGGTGTGTTCTGATTGGTTGGGAGCTTGGCTGTGCTCTGGATGGGGAGGTTGGCTGTGCTCTGATTGGTTGGGGGAGTGTTCTGTTTGGGTGGGGGCTTTGTTGTGGTCAGGTTAGTCTGAGTTGCAGGGGAATGTGAGATGTTGAGCATTGCTATTGTTTGGCTTCCCGTTCATGGTTGTGCCTCATCTTCATGGTGGGTGTCAGTTTGCTTCATGTATGGATTGGAGGGGTTTAAAGTGGCTAATGATGCAGCTGTGGTCTGGCTTCTGGTTTGTGCTCTTGCCTCATCATCGGTGTGGGTTTGGGTTTGCTTTTTGCATGGACGTGTGGTGGTGACATCCTGTGTGGCTTTCATGAGTGTGGGTCTGGTGTCATTCTTTGTGTTAGGGACTCGTTTGTCAATAAGGGCGGGTTTCCAAATGGCTGGTAGGCGGGAGGTATCATCTCGCTTGTTCATGCTGTGTGGGCGTTTTTCTATCTCGATGGCTTCTCTGATTATTCTGTTATTAAAGTGTTCAGTTAAAAGGAAGAAACAGCTACGATCACACATTGCTCTTAGAAGCACGAAGCCGAAAACACCAACCTGAAGATGACGAATGAGACTTCGTCGAAATGTCGCCAAGACACTTCCAATTTGATGCAGGAGAAAACCCGACTAACCAAAGACCTACATACAAACACCTGCGAAAATCTCAGAAAACAAATGTGTGTGTGTGTGTGTGTGTGTGAGAGAGAGATAGTGCTGTGATTATTACCCTCTCACTTCTTTGATACAAATATAGGTATCCTTGATTAACAACCGTGATTGGAACTGGAAATTCCACCAGTAAGCAAGATGGTTGTAACGTACAAGGCCTCATGATCGTGATGCTTAGTGACAGCAGTTCTGGGACTTCTAGTTGATGTTACTGAGCAAACCCTGTACTATTGTTAAATCCTGGTAGCTTCCCCATTGAGCTTGCTTGTGGAATCCGGCAGTGAAGGTTGCAAATGGTGATTGTGTGACTGAGGTGTTGCAACGTCATAATTGCAAGTTGGTTGCCAAGCATCCAGATCATGATCACAAGGATGCTGCAGTGGCTGGAGCTTTGAGGACTGTTCGTGGGTACCACTTATTCAGTACCATCAAAGTTCAAATGTCTCTGAACAAGTGATCATTAAGCAAGAACTGGTAATGAATATTCAAGACCAGGAGTATCAAACTGCCGGCCCATGGGCCGGACGCGTCACATTCAAGCCGCGCCCACCCCATTGCCGACAATGGCAAAACCGGCCCTATACGTTGTGCGACGTCACGTGACATTGAGAGTTTGACATGCCTGTTCAAGACCATTCAGCTTCCTTTCTCTCCTCTGAACCTTTATAGAACTTCCACAGATTCCTATCCTCTTATGTGAAATGAAGTGTCATGTTCCCCATCTCAAGTTTCAACCATCTTTAAGCCCACATTTGTTTTGCTCATAAAAGTTAGATTTAATTCCCAATCTAAATCACATTCATCCCTTTTAACTTTTATTCTAATGTCGAATATATGATTAATAACTAATTCCAGGAATAAGACGGTATGGCAGATCCCGGTTCTGTATCTGTTGGGTTGCTTCATATTAACATTGGGGATTTTTAGCAACTTAAATGCATTTTTGAAAGCTAAAAATAGACTGGTGACTTAAACAGAAGCCTTTTTTTCGGCCCATGTAAGTCAGATATTTTTTACACAAATATGCAGAATGTTGTAAATAAAGATTATCTTGAAAAGGAATTACAACAATTGATCGGCACTGGGATTATTTTCTGATTTAATTTTGCAAAGTGGCTTGTAATAATTTCTGTATATACCTTCATAGTCCTCTTACGCTTATTCAAAGTGCATTAAAAGACTTACTGTCTTTTTTATCACAGGGAGCAAAGAAATGGTTCGGGTAATGAGGAAGAAAGGTATTGAGCATCACCCAAATTTCCGCGCAGTAAAAAATGTTCCCTTCGACCAGTTCATCCAGCTGTTGGCTCATGCCGGTTGCATGATTGGGAACAGCAGCTGTGGTGTACGAGAAGTTGGGGCATTTGGAACGCCAGTCATCAATCTTGGAACACGCCAGATAGGGAGAGAAACAGGTATTTAAAAATGGGAAAAAAATGGCATAGCACTATGTTTCTTTGTTTAGTGGAAAACTTTCTGCAGCCGTGTCAAATTCTTTAGTGAGACTAAGGAAGAACGTGTATTTTTCCTTCTAGAGATAAGATTGCTGTAGTCATTCTCTTACCTGGAACCTGAAATCTGCCGGGTGGAGAGAACCATTTGACAAACTGAAAGCTATCGTTTATGTAGAATTGATACGGGTGGTCCTCAACTTACCACTGCAGTTGGGACCAGAATTTCCATTGATAACCAAGACAGTTGTTAAGTGAATTATGCCTGATTTTAGAACCTTTTTTTGCCACGGTTCTTAAATGAATCGCCGTAGCTGTTAAATGAATCGTGGTTAAGCAAATCTGGATGTCCCCCATTGACATTGCTTTTCAGAAACTACTGGGAAGGTGGCAAATGGTGATTGTAAGACCCTAGGACAGTGATGGCGAACATTTTAGAGACTTGAGTGCCCAAAAACTGGCCCAGCCCCGCTCCACCCTCTGCTCTGCCTCAACCCCGCCTGCCCGCAGGGCCACTCACCGCCTCAAGGGCCCACCACGGATCGCCCAGGCAGCCCAGCAGCTCCATGGCTGCCACGCCCTCTGCCCATGCCCCGCAGCATCAACTGTGTGCGATGGGGCGTGAGGGCAGAGTCTTGTCTACGCTGCCTGGCTGCCATGTCCTTGACTGCGCTGCTCCGTGTGGTCTATGCTTGGGGGCCACTCTCCTCCAGGGGGGCTGCTGGTGAGGAGGGGGTCATGGGAGGCAAGGCTGGGGCAACGGCACATGTGCCACAGAGAGGGCTCTGAATGCCGCCTCTGGCACGTGTGCCATAGGCTTGCCACCACTGCCCTAGGACAGTGCGGCGCATTGTAAATAACATGCCGACTATCAAGCTCTGAAATTTGATCACGTAGCCAGGGGGATGCTGGCATGGTTGAAAGTGTGAGGACTGGCTGTAAGTCCCTTTTTCCAGTGATGTTGTAACTTTGGATGGTCTCTAAATGAATGGTTGTAAGTCAAGGACTGTTTGTAGTTGACATTCCTAGGCAGTGTGGAAAAGAGGCTTTCTTCCTGAATATGACAAAAGAAAGTTCTAAGCTGAAGCCCAAAATGTCGGTGTTCAGGCTAATTTCCACATTGCACAACCATTGCAGTATATCAGGGATAGGCAACCTTGGCTCTTTTATGACTCGTGGACTTCAACTCCCAGAAATCCTGAGCCAGCAAATGGTGTTCAGGAATTCTGGGAGTTGAAGTCCACGAGTCATAAAAAAGCCAAGGTTGCCTACCCCTGCACTATACCTATCTCTTAGAACTCGGCATTTCCATGTTTGTCAAGTAAATGTATGTTGGTGCAGATGTACATGGTTTTATGTTGGAGGATTTGTGGTTATGTCCTGCAACTTGAGCAGCAGAGAGTAGTATAGAAGAGTAAGCTCCAATTGGTCAGGCGGTTAGAGAAGGATGGTTGATTAGATAGTACACAAGGCCTAAGTGAAGACTTCCAGTAGAATTTAATTCCTGAATTAAGTTGTCATTCTCCCCGCTTCCCAAACTGCTAAAGCTGCAAGGGAAATGGGGAGGGAGAATTTGAAACTGGGAATGGAGAATATCTTGCTCATCTTATTGATGGAAATTGGGGGACAGGGACAGGCAGCTCTTACCAATGTATCTCTATGGAAGCAAAACATTTTCTGACTTGAACGAGGGGCTGATTAAAATTGTAATTTATAATCAAGAAGATGAGCCTAGAAAAGTAAGGTAAAATTAGAGGAAATGTCTTTTTGGTGTTTATTTTTCTCTTCCTATGAAATAGGGAACCTAATTACTTATATGATTTCCTTAACAGAGTGCATTTCTTTGGCTAATTGCCCTGTGCAGTTAAGGGACCAAATAAGCATGCTTATATTTTAATCTGTTAAGGCTGAGAATGTTGAAAAGATTTGTGGACAATATAATGAAGTGCATTATTTCTCCATCAACAAAAATAAAAGCAAAATACACTTTATTTTTTGTGTTTTTTATGAATATACCCTTTTATTAATTCAGCTCTGCAGAGGATATTTTAAAATATTTGTTTGTCAATGTATATGAAAACCAGAACATGGATGTAATTTGTTTTATTATTTATTCAACCAAGACGTCAAGGCAACTAACAATAATTAAAATAATAGAAAAGCTGACATTTAGGACATTTAATTGTTTAAATAATTATGTTAACGTATTTGCTGCAATGCAAGAGTAATGAAGTTGGATTTTTAAACTATTATCCAGCATTCAGTTCGTTTGTATTAAGCAAATATGCTTCATTTCAAATTCATTTTCTTCTGATATTTAATATTCTCGGTTTCTGGGTTTGTTTTTTTTTTTTGAGGAGAGAATGTCCTTCATGTGCGGGATGCTGATTCCCAAGACAAGATACTTAGAGCTTTGCACATCCAGTTTGGGAAACAATACCCTTGGTGAGTAAAGCCATACAAATGAGTGTAGGAAATAGTAAGGCACCAAGAGAAAATATTACTATGTGTTGCAAATTTTTCAAAGCATCAGTTTCATTCAAATAGGCTAATACACAGCATTGGGAAAGCGTTTGTGTGATAAATTCAATAGTATCTTTGTATAAAAAAGTGCTGTCCTACAGAGAAAATGCCAGTTTGCATAATTCATTTATCTGATGTATATCTGTTTGCTTCAGATTTATTACTACCATATATCAAATAATAACATATAGATAAAGAGTGTAGAGAAGACTGTGTCCATAGATATCTCTTTTGGCAAATCCCAGACTCCCTGCCCAGCTAGATATTTTTTATATTAAAATAGTTAAACTGGCATTCTACAGAAAACAAGTTTCTAGCATCATCTTGATTTCTGAGAAAACTCTTATAATCCAAATGGGTTCCACAAACTACCTTAGAGAATAAAAATGATGTGTGGTTGTCTTTTCTATGGAAATGAATTGACCAGAAAAAGGACAGAAGTAAGCAGAAAGGTATAACAAATATTGTTCAGGAAAAGCAGCATATAGGAAAGGCAAATAGCATTTGGTAAATATGTGCTTTGTAACTGGTTATGTCTGTCATTGAAGCATTTTATGAATGAGCAATTTTTTCCTCCAGCAGTCATTTTATAGATTGCCAATTCTTTTTGCTGGTTTTGTATTTTATTACAAATATATATGGTGGTATATTTATTTTCATGTACACCCTGAAGATAAGTTTATGGCATATTGACTCTTGATTGGTGAATGGGTATGATCTGGCATTGACAAGCTTACAGATTCTTTACAGTCCGATACTAATTATTTTTTATTTGTAATAAAAATAAAGTTTCATGTACAGTAATTAGTGTAACAAATAAAAAAAAGGTTATAAAAAAAAGTTAGCACTTTGTGTTGCATAACAATATATGACCTATAGTTCAGAACCTCTCTGATTTAATTTTCCTTGATAATAGACAGCCTCAGGAATTTGTGACTGCTGTCTGACAATAGGATTGATAAAATGTCTGATTTTAGAATTATTGACCTAGTTTCATGTCATGCACTTGGAATCCTAAATAACTTTTTTCTATTTAGGCTCACAGTTATAGGTAGTCCTCATTTAGTGCCACTAATTGGTTCCAGCAACTTGGTCATTAAATGAAGCAGTCCTAAGTGAAAAATCACGTGATCACAACTGTGCTTATGTTTTTCTTTCCAATTTCCTTTGCTTCTTGAATCTTTCTTCAGATGAACTGGGGTTCTTTCACTTTGAGGACACCTTAGTGTGGAATAAATAAGCAAGTTAAAATAAGAACACGGGTTATACATATGTTGCTATTAATCTGTGCATCGAGGCTTAATTTAGAATTTGCAGGATGGATACCAAACAACAAGAGCACTAAGAGAGGTTCCAGGAGGGATAAATCTTGAAAGGGTTATTTAAAAATTGTCCCTGAATATGTTTACAACATTAAGCTAGAAATGCTTAGCATGGTGCTGGGATAATTAGTAAGATAAAAAATAATGTTTGTATTTATTTTCATTCGAGAGGAAGAGGTGCACCCTCTTATCCTTCCGCAAGTGCCTGAAGACCTGGCTTTTACTATATTCAAAAGGAATAAATGTAAATATAAAGTAAAGTAAATATAAAGTAAATGTACAGAGAATTGCCATTTTACTTTTTATTTTTAATGTTAATAGAACCATGATAGCATTAATAATCTGTGTACCTTTTTGCCAGCTAATCAGCTTGGCCTATATATCTGATAACAGTATATTTGCTTTTTTTACTCACAATCTGAATGTATAAGCTTGGCTTGTAAGATATTTTCCTTCTGTTTTGAAATGTTATAATTGCTTCCATTTGACGTTACAGTTCAAAAATATATGGCGATGGAAATGCTGTTGCAAGAATTCTGAAGTTCCTTAAATGTATTGACCTTGAGGAACCCCTTCAAAAGAAATTCTGCTTCCCCACTGTAAAAGAAAGTATTTCCCAAGATATTGATCATATCTTAGAAACCCAGAGTGCACTGGCAGTGGATCTGGGTGGAACGAATCTCCGAGTAGCAATTGTCAGCATGAAGGTAATTATAAATCAGAATGGTTTATATATCCACAGGGGGAAGTCTTGCTGAGAATATGTACACTTATAATTTTAAGTAGTATGATCAATTGACCTTTCAAATATAATTTTAAAATGCACCCTATTCCTGTATGCCAGCTTATTAAAATGTGGCAGCTTCCTGTAAGAGGGTAGCAAATTGGTAATAAATTAGATATTCAGAGGGGAAAAAAAACCGTCTGATACCAAAAGACATGTCGAGGAAGAAAAGAGAAAAAATGTAAAATATAACACATAGACTGCTCCAATAAAAACTGATCAGTATCAATTCTCTATAAAATAAAACATGTTTAAAAAACATAACAGATGTTTTGGGGTTTTGTATGCAAAGTGATTAAGGCCCACTCACTATCTTTCAGCCTAACCTCCACCACAGGGTTGTTGTAGAGATAAAATGAAACTAGAACCCCTACCATGGAGTCCTGGATAACAGGTGGAATATAAATGCAACTAATTCATTCCAGTTTTCAAATATAGTGCGATTTAAACATTAGATGAATTGATTGAAGTGAAACGGTGATCTAAAACCAAATGAAGATCTGTCATGTGTAGATCCATCCTGATTCAGGAAACACAGGGTGGAGCCCAAGACCACATTGTCTGTAGCAGTGCAGAACAGAATTCCTATTCAGCAATCATTCTTTCAAGTCTTCATACTTTACATCAGGAGTCCTCGGCCTTGGCAACGTTAAGACTTGTGGACTACTGGCTGAGGAATTCTGGGAGTTGAAGTCCACAAGTCTTAAAGTTGCCAAGGTTGAGGACCCCTGATGTAAAGTATGAAGAATTGAAAGAATGATTGCTGAATAGGAATTCTGTTCTGCACTGCTACAAACAATGTGGTCTTGGGCTCCCATGTCATAGCAAATCTGCCCTGGGACTGCATATACTTAACCATTTGAAAACCAATTGTAATTGAACTTTTTTTTAAAAAAAAAAACTGTTTTTAACATAAGCATTGTAAAAAAAAAACATTGTAAAAATTGCAGTTGATGGGTATTGTGTAGGTCCATTTCTCCCTTGGCTACAATGGAGCCTCTTTTAGAGCAGCACCTTCTATAATGTTTAGGCTTCCTCAGAACAGGATGTTTGTCCCCTTAAAACTCTCGCTTGGTTCGCTTTTTAACTGAAAAGATTACTTTAATTTAATTTATGTTTAAACCAGGATTGTCTTACATTGTTCTTTTCCTGTTGCAAAAGGCATTGACTCTGCCATTTTCATCCCCTTTGCAGGCCAGCAAATAAGCTGAGATTGAGGTTGGGCATGTGGTTTGTGTGGCCAAGAAAGTGCAGACAGACATACAAAGACTTCTCTTTTCATATAGTTAGTCCTTGACCTACGACCACAATTGAGCCCAAAATCTCCATTGCTAAGTAAGACAGTTGCTAAGTGAGTTTTACCTCATTTTACAACATTTTTTAACCACAATTGTTAAGTGAATGACTGCAGTTGTTTAGTGTCTTTAAGACACTTAGGCTCTCTTAAGCCACTTTGGTTTCCCCCATTGACTCTGCCTGTTGGAAACCACTGGGAAGGTTACAAATGGTAATCACATGGCCCCCAGGACACTGCAACCATCACAAATACATGCCAGTTGCCAAATGCCTGAATTATGATCATACGAGCATGGGGATGCTGCAATGGTCGTAAGTGTGAGAAACAGTGATAAGCCACTTTTTTTAGTGCCGCTGTAACTTCAGATGGCTGTAAGTTGAGGACTACCTGTATAGTGTTGGCTTGCTCCATAGAATACAGTACATGTCTCATCTCTTCAGTTTTGATTCTGACTGGTCAGTAAGAATTGACAACGGCTTGATGGCACATAGTCTATCGCTCTGTGCTTGTATTTGATGCCTTTTAGGAACAGCACTTTCATGACAGAAGTACTTAGAAAAAAATTAGAGTTTGATGGGCTTTTCTTTTCACTTAGGGTGAAATAGTTAAGAAATATACACAACTGAATCCTAAAACGTACGAGGATAGAATAGAACTGATCCTTAAGATGTGTATGGACGCTGCCTTAGAAGCAGTAGACCTGAACTGCAGAATTCTGGGTGTAGGTAAGTTTAATAAGCATCATTTTTTTTTTGCTTTATAAAATCAAGGCAAGAATTAGCACTGTGCCCCCCCCAATGTTGTTCTGTATTTCAAATATAATAGAAGGAATTGTTTGCTAAGTGCTGAATTTTACAGATACCTTGGTGTTCATAGACTGCAAAATGAATGAATATATTAAAATTGGTATACAGATCTGAGAGAGGCAGTTTGGTGCAGTTGTGAAGGCACCAGGCTAGAAACTGGGAGAGTATGAGTTCTAGCCCTGCCTTAGGCATAAAGCCCAGCTGGGTGACTGTAATCCAGTCACTCTGTCTTATTTCTAGGAAGGAGGCATTAGCAAAACACTTCTGGAAAAACCTTCCCAAGAAAACTGCAGGGACTTCTCCAGGCAGTATCCAGGAGTCAAAACTTGACCCAGAGGCACTAAATAAATAAATAATATTCTCAAGTTCCATGCCATATACTTATATTTCATAAGTTGTACTTCTGTAGGCCAGTGTTTCCCAAACTTGACAATTTTAAGGCATGTGGACTTCAACTCCCAGAATTCCACAGCCAGCGTTGCTGGCTGTGGAATTCTGGGAGTTGAAGTTCTCATGCCTTAAAATTGTCAAGTTTGGGAAACACCGCTGTAGGCAATTAAAAATTGTATATATCGTCTTCGATGATACTTTTCCCCTCAAAATTATAATAGGCCGAAAAGGCACTGACTGATCATCAAGTGTTAGATTGAAATAAGCAGAACAGCTCCTGTTGACCTCTAAATTTTTGAAGATTTTGTCCTGTCTTGTATTCTTTGTGCAATACTGTCTTATATTTGTGTGTGTGTGTGTGTGTGTGTGTGTGGATGAGGCACAATGAACAGGATATATGTGAATTCAGACAATGGTGTCTCCGCAGATAATGCAAATTTAAACAGCAAATTGTGGCATGAGTGACCCTGTGATAACAGTTCTTTACTTATCTGGGGGTTTATTGAAGAATTCTTAACAATGAAAAGTAACGTAAAACAGAACGGCTGAACTTCGTCGTTTCATTGTTGAGGGAAGTTGTTCAGTTTTGTTTCTGAGTGGGAAGCTAACACTTAACAAAGCTTTATTTTGGATTTTTTTTAAAAAAAAATGCTAGAATTAATAAGAGTCTTGTCCTGTTCTTCATATATCATGAAATATGCTGTTTGGCTCAGGCATTTCCACAGGTGGGAGAGTAGATCCCCGAGAAGGCGTTGTTCTTCATTCCACAAAACTCATTCAGGAGTGGAACGCTATTGATCTGCGGACACCGATATCAGACGCCCTGCATTTGCCAGTCTGGGTGGATAATGATGGCAACTGTGCGGCGTTAGCGGAGAGAAAATTTGGACATGGGAAAGGAGTGGAAGACTTCATAACTGTTATCACTGGCACAGGTATCAGTTTCCTTCACACTTCCAAAAACCAAGTTTTTTCAATCTCGTTTGGAATCAAGTAATATTTCCACTTTGTACTTATTTATTGTAAGAGATCACGTGCAAATAGCTATAATCTCTATCCAGCTGTGGGCGCACGATTAAATCTGACAGGAAATCTCAGATTTGGGCAGGGAATTGAGTTCACTGCAACTCATAGGAAGCTTCTCTTACGTTTTCTGTTATTTTATTAGATTGTAACTGATGCAAACTACAGGGCAGTGGCCACCACAACTATTGTCTTTAAACACAATATTAAGAATATAATGTTATGAAGAGGTGGGGGGCGGAGGAAAAACTGGATAAATGGAGCACTGGATAAACAGACAAGCTGAAGAATCTCAAACAAGAATGGACCAAGAGAGAATGGGAGTGAGGGTGATAAATTGAAAAATAAATTGGATGGTCAGAGCACCATCAAACACAGAATCACTCAAGAAAAGTCTGGGCCAAGGGTAGGCAACCTTGGCTTTTTTATGACTCGTGGACTTCAACTCAAAGAATTCCTGAGTCAGCTGACTCAGGAATTCTGGGAGTTGAAGTCCACGAGTCATAAAAGAGCCAAGGTTGCCTACCTCTGGTCTGGGCAATCAAGTGTGGTTGTATAGTTGCCTATGATAAATTATTCTTTTGGAATGCTATATATTTTCTAGTCTTCAGAGTTCAGCGACAGTGTCCTGATATTTTTCGTTCAGGTATCGGTGGTGGCATCATTCATCAAAGTGAATTAATTCACGGCAGCTCTTTTTGTGCTGCTGAGCTTGGGCACATTGTGGTAGCAATGGATGGACCAGAGTGCCTGTGTGGGAACCATGGCTGCATAGAAGCCTATGCTTCTGGGATAGCCTTGCAGAGAGAAGCCAAGAAATTACACGATGGTAAGTAAGGTGCTGTCCTGTTATTTATGCCCAGGTTCGCTGGTAGGATGTGCGTAAGTGTGAGCAACCTAAAAAAAAGTTCACATAACGATACACTTGTGATTTAATAACTACCATGTATAAATTAAGGTAGCAGAAATGCTTACTTCTGCTTTTACATGTGTGAACTTTGTTTCCCGAAGCCAAATCAATTAATGGAAGCTTAGCTGAAAAGCAAATCTACTGGCATGCCGGTATACACACTGACTACATTAGCTACCTTGATCAAGATACACAGGTAGCCCTTGACTTACAACCATCCATTTCATGACCATTCAAAGTTACAACAGCACAAAGTTACAAAGTGACCATTTTTTCACACTTACGACCGTTGCGACATTCCCATGGTCATGTGATCAAAATTCTGACCCTTGGCAACTGACTCATATTTATGGCGGTTGCAGCGTCCTGAGGTCACGTGATCACCTTTTGCGACCTGACAAGCAAAGTCAATGGGGAAGCCAGATTCACTTAACAACCATGTTACTAAGTTAACAACTGAAGTGGTTCTCTTAACAACTGTGGCAAGAAAGGTTATAAAATGGGGCAAAACTCACTTAACAAATACCTTGCTTAGCAACAGAAATTTTGGGCTCAATTATTGTCGTTAATTGAGAACTACCTGTATAAAACTGATCTGAAAATTTTCAGTGTCCCCATTTCCTCACTGTGTGTTCCTCTTGTAGGAAGAATGCTGTAGATGGAACGTAGCAAATGCCTTTTTTATTGCAGTTTTAACCATCACACGCTAATGAGTAAATTCACTTAAATATATTTGTACCTTGTAATCTAGGCTGCTTTTCTATAATTCAAACTAGTCTGATTTCAAAGACAAGTTTGAAAAAGCTGGGTCAATCTGTGAACAAAAGAAAATTTTAATCACAAGCTTAAGAATGTAAAGAAACTGAAATAAAGAGCAAAAAGCTAAATAAGGCTTTGATTTAGAATGGTATAAATGGAATAAGAGTCCAGACAAATTAGAATACCAAAACTTTTACCCTAAGGTTTTAGAATTAATTATAAACTACAAACATCATCTTGCAGGAAATAGATCTCTTTTTGTTCGTGTAAGTCAGTGTTTCCCAAACTTGACAATTTTAAGGCATGAGGACTTCAACTCCCAGAATTCCACAGCCAGCGTTGCTGGCTGTGGAATTCTGGGAGCTGAAGTCCACATGCCTTAAAATTGTCAAGTTTGGGAAACACTGGTGTAAGTCATTACAATGATGAACAATTTCATGATTTCAAAAACTGGACACTAGAGGGGACTAAAGATTTTAAAAAGGGGAAAGATATAAAAGCCAGTAGATGGTGCAAAACATTTTGTCGATAAAAATACTGGAGGAGACTTTGGAAGGAGGGAATTAGATAATAGTAGCCACAACATCAGCAATGTTAGCCATGATGTCTGCTTCTCTGGATAGACTATGAAGCAATGTCAGATGTAGAACAAAGTTTATCTGACAAGATGGAGATGGTATCAAAAGTGGATTTACAGCTGACGGGAAGTTCATAATTTAGAAAAGGATCTTTTACCAGGTGTACAACAAAAATTGTCAGATTTTAAAATCTGAGAAATACAAAGTACCACATCAAGAGAGCGTTCTGGATTTAAGAGAATTTTATTGGACTAGGATTTCAAGAGGCTTCTTAAAGCCTTGAACTGTTGATGAAGGGACAAAGAAAAAATGAAGATAAATCAAATCCTGTGGCAAATGTTTGAATGAACTAACAATTAAAGTAAAAGGAAGTAATATAAAGTTGATTTTTCATCAAAGTTTGAACAAAAGATGTTATTATTTCTGGCTACCTTTCATGTACTTTTTGCTGATATCAGGCCTGAAAAGATGAAGTTTAATGGATTTTTCATAGATAAGAAATAGGGTATGGGATAAAGAAATAAATGTAACTTCAGAGAGTGGAGAGTCACTAAATTAGTGTATAGTTGCTGTGATGAAGATTGGAAATCACGTCATCATATATTTTTCTTTATTATATTCTTACTTTTCTCTTCTCTTTTTTTGTACTTTTTACTCCTTTCTATTCTCCATTCTTTCTTTAAGTTTAATTTATGTTACATTTTTCTATTATAATAAAATCTTAATAAAATGTATAAATAAAATATGTAGATATGAGTACAGTATGTGCATTTATAGGCAATTGCATGAATTGAAAGTTACATTTGTAAATCTAAAAAGAAAAAAGAAAGTGGATTTCCTTGGCCATGCCAAGAACATTTTAAGGACTTAACTAAGATAAAATCCAGCATCAGGACAATGAGGGTTAAATCTGCATTTGCATTGCTTAGTCAGTTTGCTGATTTAAAAAACAACAATCAGATTAGGTCTGTTCCACTATTTTCTGGTACATATTTATGTGGAATCATTTTACATCTGTAGGAAACCAGTGGGATTCTATGCCAGAAAAGAGAGATAAAACTTCATTTATGGAAAAAATGCATCAAAATAGATTCTTTGTGATTTTTTTAAAATGGTTGGTAAAATGTAATAATCAGCATTGTCTGTTTTGCTTCTTAACTACTAATTCTGCTTTCTTCCATTTTTTTCTCCAAACAGAGGATTCATTATTGATTGGAGATATGTCTATGAAAAAAGAAGATACAATAACTGCTGCACATCTTATTCAGGCAGCTAAATTAGGAAACCCAAAAGCTGACAATATTGTTAGAACAGGTAAAAATACTAAACATAAGACTGAAATATTTGTTAGAATATTGGCTAGTGGCAAATATTGCTACTGCTGTAGCATCATCCTTGTTTGCTTCTGTTACAAAACAATAGCAAAAATAGGCCTTTTCTTTCTCCCGATAACATTTTAACTTTCTTTTGGAAATGCAAGGAGAGGGGGAAAAAAATAGACCAGGCAAGGTAAGGATGGATAAACGTGTTGGAAAAAAAATACAGTTAGATGTGCAGAGAATCATCGTCAATACATTGTGCAAAGCTTTGATAGATTATTTGCTGTGATAATGGTTCAACAGAATCACCCTGTTAAAGTTGTTCTTTGTAGCCCTGCTCATATTTTTACATCTGAAACTAAAGTGACTACTTTGTTTTGCTTCACTTGTTTTTAAAGCTTGTTCTAGCAGTTGCAATTGTTTGGCAGACAAATAGAACATTTCCCAGCAGATTGGGGAGACAGTTGAGGCTTTGGGGTAACGCCCAGTGCTTTATTGAGGCAAAACATGTTTCCTTTTTGGTAGAACAAGATAACCACATTGCCTCTACAGCTTAGAGCATCTCAGTACTATAAAACCAAGCTAGTATTCTCCTGTTAGTAGAAGAGGTCTATCAGTAGAATATTAACGGAGAGCAGTCTTAATTTGTTTCTTTGGAGGACAAGCCCTCATTTAAATTTTGTTGAAACATACTTGCTATCATAGAATCTAATCCTTGAAAACTTAAGAGATTTTACTGAAACCTGTTTAGGCAATCTGAATGTAGTAGAAACCATGTTTGATACTTCTCTTTTTGATAGCTCCTGTGAAAATAGACTCAATCCAATTTTAAGGAAGTTCTATTTGTGCCTAAAGCAACATTTCTATATAATCTAATCCAAAGAATAATTGGAAGCACTTTTTTTTAAAAAAAAAAAAGTTGGAGCATTATAAGTATTACTGAGAACCAATTTAATATAATGATTATTATGATTGTGATTATTATGAGGAGCCATGGTGATGCAGTGGTTAGAATGCAGAATTGCAGGCTAATTCAGCTCACCGCCAGGAGTTCGATCCTGACTGGCTCAAGGTCGACTCAGTCTTCCATCCTTCTGAGGTTGGTAAACTGAGCACCCAGATTGTTGGGCGCAATATGCCGACTTTGTAAATCGTTTAGAGAAGGGCTGTAAAGCACTGTGAGGTGGTATATAAATCAAAGTGCTATTGCTATGATTTTAGGCATTGGGATAGAAGTTGGAAGCCATGAATTCTAGTCCTGCCTTAAACAGAAAGCTGGCTGATAAATTCAGGCCATTCTCTCTCACACAACTTTAAGAAGAAGCCTGTGGCAGACCATTTCTGAAAATGTTCACAAAAAAAAATTGCAGGGGCTTCTTGGGAAGCAAAACCGACTGCAAGGCACCAACCCAGCCCCACACCATTATGATTACTACTACGGTCGTTATTACTCAAACCTATACTGCTCCATTCCCTCAGGTGTCCCTGAAAGATTCACCCTCACACATCTGTGTCTTATCTCTAGAGTCCATATTTGATGGTTCAACAGACAATGGAAAACAGGAATTTGGATTTCTGACTGTCATGAAATAATTTTTTATCAGTGAAATCATGTTTACTTTGAAACTCTACAGTGCTTCTTTGAATCCATACTTACGACTTTTTCTCCAATTCTTTTTTCTTTCATCTCAGCATATTATATTTTACTCTTTATTTTAATTGTCAGTTCTCAATAATTTGTTGTTGTTGTTAATTGCAAAGTCATGTCCGACCCATGGCGACCCCATGGATAACGTTCCTCCAGGTCTTCCTGTCCTCTACCATCTTCTGGAGTCCATTTAAGTTCATGCCTACTATTTCAGTGACTCCATCCAGCCACCTCATTCTCTGTCGTCCCCTTCTTCTATTGCCCTCAATCTTTCCCAGCATTAGGCCCTTCTCCAGTGAGTCCTTCCTTCTCATTAGGTGGCCAAAGTATTTGAGTTTCAACTTCAGGATCTGGACTTCTAAAGAGCAGTCAGGGTTGATCTCTTCTAGGACTGACTGGTTTGATCGCCTTGCAGTCCAAGGGACTTGCAGGAGTCTTCTCCAGCACCATAGTTCAAAGGCCTCAATTCTTTGGCACTCAGCCTTTCTTATGGTCCAACTTTCACGGCCATACATTGCAACTGGGAAAACCATGGCCTGGACTATACGCACTTTTGTTGGCAGGGTGATGTCTCTGCTTTTTAGTATGCTGTCTAGATTTGTCTCAATAATAGCCAACGAATTTGTAAAGATATAAAACATCTTTAATGTTTTGGAGTAATAAGCATGTTATATTGCATAGAAGAGATTGTTTTTATCATGATTAGTTAAGTTTTTATGTGATTCAGAATGAAGTCACATAAGGTAGATAATTGCTTCGTGTTGGACAGTTGAAAGTGGTGCGAAAGAGGCAGTTGCTGCTTTATGGTCCTCTTACCAATAAGAGTTGTGCACATTCTGTTCAGTTAGAGAAGATAGTGAGGGAAAAAATGTAGCCATAAAGCAGCACATCTTGGGATTACTTTTCCAAGGATTCCTTGCTAGCATTGGCAAAAGTAAGATGGATGTTTTAGTTCCAATATCTGGCAAGAACTCAGATGGAAAGGCTAGTACATAATAAGGAAAGAGTTTCTTGTGGGGTCCTTGGTGTTCTCTGAGCTTGGTGATTTTCTTGCAGACATTTCATTACCAAATTAGGTAATGGGAGGATGTTCTAGCGCTGAAGATGTTACCTAGTTTGGTAATGAAATGTCTACAAGGAAACCACCAAGCTCAGAGAACACCAAGGACCCCACAGTTCAACCCTGAGCTGCAAATAGCCTCTTCCTTCGGTAAAGAGCTTCTTTCTTGTATAACTCTCATTCCTATGTTCTTCCTGACTCATGTTTCCTTTTTTTCCCTCACAGCGGGAACAGCCCTGGGCCTTGGAATCGTTAATGTTCTGCACACCATTAGCCCTTCCCTGGTGATACTGTCTGGCGTCTTGGCCAGTCATTATGTCAATGTTGTCAAAGATGTGATCCGTCAGCGAGCGTTATTCTCTGTCCAGGCAGTGAATGTGGTTGTCTCAGACCTGAGCGATCCTGCCTTGCTTGGAGCCGCTAGCATGGTTCTGGATTATACAACACGCAGGATATGCTAAACACCTGGGGGAAAAGTAGAAATCCTTACGAAGTTTATAACAGGAAAAATATTTCCTACTGATGTTGGAGGTTTTTGGGGTTGTTTCAGATGATTTTATGGAAACCTCGCCATAAAAATTGTTCCCTTCCTTTATTTAATTGCTACTTTTATATGTTGGAAGAAACACGGCTCAGAAGAGGACTCTCTTGTAGACAAAATGAAATTAAATACTTCTTGGGAGCTACAATTTGTAAAATGTTCTTCTGAATGTTCTTCTTCCTAATGTATTTTCAAATTGTTTTTCTCAGTAGGTGGTAATTTCAGTAAGCAGACCTTTGTTATGCAAGTACAGAAATATCCCTGACAGATATATGTAACCATTTCCATCTCTGCAGAGCTGGGCAGGTATGATCTCTGTGTGAGAGAAATTGGAAACATCTCACAGTAAAATACCCAGCATTATGATGTGATTATCAATGAATACATTAATTAGAATATAATCCTTATTAGGATGATTACATATGCTGCACATGTTCACTTTCAAAGTGCTTTCCTTACAGAAATGCCCTTCAGTAATACTGAATTATAGAATGATCGTAACTGTCAATTCTGTTGGCCAGCAGTTACGGCAGCTGTAATCTAGAACCCCCCAAAAGGCACATGTTTGGAGACATACAGTGTGCTAGGATGGAGAACAAAATGTATGCTTTTTCTCTCTGTTAACAATAGTCATATTTTATATACATCCTCTGAATTGTGATTCCTACCACCTGGTTTTCATGTTCTTTGCTGTAAATAATTGAGTTTTGAAAATACAGGGTGTAAAAAGTTATCCATGTGAAACAAAGTAAGATAGATTTCTGTATGAAAGTTTGAGCTCCTTCTCCAAATTCAACAAGCACTTTTGGTTCTTTTAGCTGGCTTTAATATGTCAAATGTCGTACATATTCTTGTATTCCAAAGGAATATTTACCTTTTCCTATTTTGTCCTATTTTGAAAAATATTATGCAGTATACATATATTGATTAAAATTCTGCCCCAAGCCAAACAACCATCTTGAGTATTAAGTAAACTTTTCATTTCCATATTCTTCCTGGAATTATACAAGAAGGGAATTTCCAGACCTTGGCTGCCATTGAACTACGGGAGTGAGTTGCCTCCAATGCAAGCCTACCGAGAGAATCGAGCAATTAATATAAATACTGTAGCAGAGAGTTCAGTTTAAATGAAGAGGGTCCATTTTCATCCTGAAACAACTGCTACTTTGAAGGAAGCTTGAGCATCTGAATAGATTTTGATTGTATATTTTGTTTTGGAGTTCAAAGGAGCATTTTGCAAAAATACACAACTTAGTTTTCAGCAATTCTCTTAGGAGTGCTAAATCTCACCCTGGTTTTCTGTATGAAAGAAATTGGAAAACACATGAAATGGCGTTGTTGTCAGTTTTGTTCAGTTAGGCAAGCGGGATGAAAACAATGACAATAGTCTTGAAGAAAAATGAAAATCCAATTCCCATGCCACAAACATCTTTCAGACTGGAACAGATTGCTAACATTTAAGGCTTTCTCAAATTGAATCTGCACCTGAAGAGTAAAGGAAAAAAGTATACATTTTACTAACACTTCTTCCTGCAACTACAAGTTGGTAAGAAAAAAAAAATGAATTGTTACAAGTACCCTGCACTGAAGCCACCACCAATCTAAATGTATTGTTTGGGATTATGCTTGTTTTCTTAACCTGAACAAGTTGTGCGTGCAGTTAAGCTCAGCATTTGGGACATTCTAGGCAAGGGATGCAGAAGAACAGCCTTACAGAAACAGATCTGACTTTCCATGTCCTCTTGGAAGCCTAATCCACTTAGTAAACTGAGTTTCATCAAGCCAGTTTCTTCTCCAAATAATGCTCAACTGCCTTAAATATTTAGTGTGTTTTTGGCAAAGACAAGTTCTTTATTTTTGTGCATTCTTACAAGTTATCCCAAAATAGTGAAGCTGTCATTTTGGGGGTGGGTTTTTGTTTGTAAAATAATTTGCTATTAGATAGAATGGAAAAGGAATGTAGTGCTATGCTCACTTGGCTTTTAAACCATGAAAGAAACATCCAAGTTCAGCACTAAATGATAATGATATAGTGCAAGTAGGGCTGTTGTGGCTTCAGTTTACTGCTGGTGAGACTTGTAGACTTTTTTCTTGGGGCTTTTGCTCTGAGCAATGCCAATCATCTTTGGGAGGACAGAAATTCCTAAAGCTCCTATCCCAAGATAATATACTATATTGTCTAATAATTCCCAGAATGCCCCAGTATACTAGCTTCAGTCTGAAAGATATGTAACGATACCATGTTGTCTTTAATTGCTAATCTAGCAGAGATAAATCTCATCAGCAAAGGGCATTGCTGCACCTCTAAACTATGGTGCAGATGTCTTTATGTGTAAGTAACGTTCATTTTATGTGGTTAGTAACTGTTAGTACTGAAATTTTAAGAGGCTCTTTGCCTGCTTTATTAAATTCGATAAGTGTTAGCTCAATTGTATATTCAGTTTGATAAGCACCAGTGAAAAAGATTTACGATTCCCAGTAGCATTACTTTAAAAGCAAAACTGTCTTTAATTGAATAGTGATCTTAATATTTGTTACTTAGTTCAGCATAGCTCCTGCATCATCACTTTAATTGGGAAAGGAAGACATCTTTACATCTGCCTATGTTGTATGTATAAAAATAGTTTCTATTTCTTGTTGGCATGAAAAATATGGTTTTCTCTGTTGCCTTATTAAAACAATTAGTTCTGTACGTTCTGTTGTCTAAATGTTGTTAGATCTAAGTGACTTCAAGCTAAACATCAAAGATTTAAATAAAAAATAAAATTATGTATATATCAAGTTTCCATTAAGTATCTTATTTATCCAGCTATTAGTTTGAGAAGCATAACATCTACATTATTTTTATCATCGCCCACTACTATAAAATTCCTAAAATTAAACCAAAATCAGAGGATACTTGGATAGGATACGGGTTACTTTTAGATCAATTCCATAAAATTTATTTCTAAATCTCTTAAAATGGCTGTTGATCTTGAAGGAATCTGAAAAGCAAGCTTATTAATAAGCTCTAGCTATGATGTAATAACGGTTCACACCTTTTGTGAATAAAGTTAATTGCTTGACCAATAACCTTCATCAATTATTCAGAAAGGAATTGTTTAGTTCCAAAGGTTTTGCATACTTAAGAACTGTATAAAATGTAGCTTCCTCAACTTCTACTTAATGCTGTTTTAGAAGCAGCTACTGTAGGAATATCTCCCTTATCCTTAGTGTCTGAAACTGGATACCGTCCTCAGATTCCAGGTTTTCCCACCCTTCGTTATCAGGCATAATCCCTTTCTTTAAAAACTATCTCTTATAGACCTCTTCTGTTAGATTTTACTCCCATAGACTCCAGCTGAAAAAGTATTGGAGAAGACAGTTCCAAGTTAAACCAGGAGGAAAGGATAGTACAAGTCTCAAATACTTGACATTGTAGTTTTAAATTAAAACCACAGGGGCAGAGAATATGACAAAATGAAGCAACAAAAAAGATAGTGCTTTCTTTGGTATAGGAAAAAGACATCCTGTGTGTTTTGGGTGACTAAAATAAGTATATATCAAATGTGCCAAAAATAAATGATTTTTTTGTAATTAAAATTTCAATCTTATAGCATAACATTGCAGATTTTCTGATTCTTTGGAACTCATTAAGCTAACTAAAAAAATTGTGTGTGGGGGGGAAAAATGTAAAAAAAATGTGGCTGATATTCAAGACAAAGCATAATCCAGTTTCAACCTATGGTGGAATTAAATAACTTTCAGGAATACAAATTATGTTACCTGTCACAGTATAGCCCTCCCTACTCTGGCCACCCACAGATATACAAACTTCAATTCCCAGAATTCCCAGCACCAGCCATGCTTGCTATAGAATTCTAGAACTGGCCAACATACATGAAGACTATTGTTAAAGTGCTACACAGTACAGTGCTAGATTAGCTGCATAATCACCTCTCCCAAATGGTATCTGCCTGTCCTAGGTTAAATAGGGTGGGTATGCTCCAGGCCCCCTCCTTTAAGCACTGCCATCTGGTGGGACCTCAGTGGTGTACCTTCTCAATGGCTGCCACAGTCCTTTCGAAGAGCCTCCAACCCCAGGGATCCGTTCCTGAGGGCTGTGAAGATCTGGTTCCTCCCCTAAGAACTGAATGGGTGTTGAACTGCGAGGAAGATTGGTCTGGAACTTGGGGAAAGGGTACATTTGTTTCGAACTGTTTTTTTAAATGGGTTTTAATGGGTTCAATTCAACATATTGTTTTTGACCTTTAAATACCTTCATGGGATGGGGATGGGTTATTTCAGGGACTGCCTCTTCTCAGTTACATCTGCTCATCCCATCAGATCTAGCAGGAGGCATGCTATAGATCCCATATCCAAGTGAGGTTGGTTTCATCCCTGTTGATTTTCCAGAAGTCCCTCAAAACCTGGTTATGCCATCAGGCCTGGGAACCCCAGGATATCGGCAAAGTACTGAGGAGGCTCCATGGTGGTCGGCATCTGCTGATCTTTGTAATTTTTAAAATTTTCCCGGATAATAGTTTTACGTGTCATTATTTTATAATATGCTTTTTTGTGACATGGGCAGCTTTATAAATTTGATGAATAAATGAATGATGAACTGCCTCAGGTCATTGTATGAAGTATGTGGCCATTTAAATCTTGTGAATAAATAGTTAAATAAATATTCCAGGTCTGGTTTATTAGTATAAACCATGGGTAGGCAACCTTGGCTCTTTTATAACTCGTGGACTTCAACTCCCAGAATTTCTGAGCCAGCATAACTTCTGGGAGTTGAAGTCCACGAGTCATAAAAGAGCCGAGGTTGCCTACCCCTGGTATAAACCAATGTTTATACTATAGTGCAAGGCAGTGTCAAGGGATAACTGCGAAAACAGTCGTTGAAAATACAATTTTCAGCCATTATATTCCCAAGTATTCATAGCTAGCACAACAGAGTCCTTCAGCATTTTAATATTCCCACACAACAGTGCAATTTAAACAGACCTTTAATATCAGTATATTTGAAAGTCAAATCTCAATGCGTAAGAGCAGCATAGAGACTACAGTTCTGGAAGTTTTCTCCCAGTTTGGACACCAGGAGGGCAGAGAGGAGGAACATGCAATCACAGAACAATGATCAAACTCTAAATACATTGTGAGGTTTGGTCCAAAAAAACAAAAAACAAAAAACAAACAAACATTTAAACATAATTAATCCAATTACTGCAAACACAGCTTCTCTGAGTAAAGTTAGATATTGCATTTGTAGTGTAGGGTGTGCTTTCCCTTCAGCGAACCAGCGGGGCCTGCTTGAGCGAAATCAGCACTGAGCGCATGCGGGACACGTCTTTCGCCTGCTTGCTCGACTTGGGGTTAAAGTCACAGAGTCGAGCCACACGTTCCCACTCGGTGCCAGGAGACGAGTCATCAACATCATTCACAAAGACTTCTTCAGCTGCCCTAGAAATAATGCAACACGTTTCATTTCAATGAAATAGGTCTCCCGCCCATTTCCCATGAGTTGCTTCCTAATTATTTGTAAAATCATCACCACCATCATCACCCAAAGTAGGGTCAATTTCCAATCCTCCTTTTAGACTTTCAAATTATGGAAGGGGCAATGAGACCCATGTGAACAGAGAAGTGCTAAGTCAAATGTCAGAGTATATGTGCTTGGTTTAACCGAGAAAGGTAATCTCAATCTTGGTGTACAAGGTTAAGGCAAGTGGGTTTATCAAGAATCAACTCCACAGATAACATAATCTGAGTCTGTGTAATGTGCAAACTTAACCATCAGCGCACAATCTCATTACCCACATACTGAATTCTGAATACAGGATAAATCAGAAGATCCACAATACAATGGCAGAGCATGTGTAATCCATGCAGAAGGTTCTAGGTGCAATCCTGAGCATTTCCATATAAGGCAAGGAAAAAGACTCCAATCTGAAATTTAGGAGAGCTATTAGGAGTCAGATTTGATGATACTAACTTTGAAGGATCACTGTTTGATTCTATATAAGGCCATTTCCAATGATCCTATAGACACCAATAGAAGTTGGTGTGGTGTGCTATTCAGTTGCCTTCTTAACAATTATTTTTAATTTTTACAAACTATAACATGAAACTGAAATGCTATTTTTAATGCTGCGGAGAGATAACAGAAATTAGCAGGAAAGAAAAAAAGTCACAGCCCTCATGCTTGAAAATGCTATGGACCTAAAGGCTGGAACAAGGAAGACTAAAGAAAGGCCAAGGAGAAATCTGCTTCATTTCATCTGCACTCGTGCGCACATTTTCTGCTTAGTGACATCACCACAAGTATTGTCCCTTCAATACTAGCATTCTGCTATCTTGCTCACAAGCAGGAAAATTATTTTCTGGAACTAACTGAAGCAGACTGTGAGCTCTGAACATAAGCAAATGCAATAAGCAGACCTACTTATGGGGAAGGGAAAAGGAAAAAAAACTACTCCCACAGAGTACCGGGGGGGGGGGGGGAAAGCAATGAGATGAACTTATGAAGTTCAGCACTGATCACAAGTATGGTTGTATTTTACAAACACCACTGATGACAAGGGTCACTACAACACTGCTATTTCATGGGACAAGACACTTAAGGGGCAGTGAAGAGTTTACTTAACTGTTCTAGGCTGTAGCAAGGATGGTTTATGTTTGTGCTTTAAAGGTGAAGAGAAACAAAAAGGAGAGTTTAAGTCAGATATAGAAAATGAAAATGAGCATAATGCAGATGGCAAGTAAAGCTGGCCAGACATGCACTTTGCAGCACTATCAACATTCAGGAACAGGTACCTCCAGAATTTATTTTACAGTAGCTGCACTATAGGCACTCTTCTCCTCCCCCAACCAGTTACAGGAAACAGCCTTTCTGCCTGAACTTCAACTGCAAAAATCAATGGCAGACACCACCTGTAAGTCCAGCATTTCACAAGTCAAGGGGTTTTTCTAGGACTGATCATCTGCCAAACTTCCATAACATTTGGGAAAAAGTTTCAGTACTAAATTCAGACTAGAAGTAGGCATGAAATACCCATCAGCCTTCTCAACTGCCATGCCGTGAAACTCTTCCGGATTACACAACAAATCTGAAAATATTGTAGGCAATTACGGAAATATAAATCACGGTGAGGAACACAGAGCCCCAGCTCCAAAGCAGTTTCATCATTATTTCTTTTTCCCTAATTCCTGACATACTCCATTCAACTACAACTTGCTCTGTATAGATAAGGAACACTGACTTCCTCATCTTCTGAACTTGCCACAAATGGGGTCTTCAAGCAGGAAGAAGGAAAAGTGTGTTGCAAATTGCTCATGTCTCTTTCTCTTGGTTCTTTTTTCAAAGACAATTATTCTATCAACACATCTATAATAGTATTCTGTTTTGTCCAGCTGGACTAGCACCAGCGAACATAAATATCACAATTCTGGCATGTGCATTGAGGAAAGAGGGCATTTGATTCTGAACAATAAACATCCAGAAATATATAAGAAGCACCTTTTATTTAAACGTTTTCAGAGTATAGAACTGGAATATGAACAGAAAAACAGAAAGTTATCCCGCTTTTTTCTGAAACAAGAGTTATTTTTACATAGGAAAGTGGTATAGCTAAATTTTACCTACAATTTCCAGAGCTAAACCCTCTAGCAATATTTTATGACTCTGAATGAATCCTCCCATTCTATATTTTATATATGGAAGTTGTACAGAACTACTTTTTCCCATTCATTTCCATTTCTTGTTAATCACTGCAGTAGTTTTACATCTAGTGTTGCTATAAAGGAGCTGCTGAAGTAGCTTTCATTATTTTATATGCTTGGGTAACATAATCTAAACAGTCAAATATATAAACCGTACAGGAAGAAGAGTACTCAGCTATGAGAAAACTACTGTTTTCAGTTACTAAATGTCACCTATATTTAGTTCAACAAAATTCAACTCTGCATGCTAAGAAGTTTAATTTTCAATACAGAATGAAATTTAAGGCAGGTTTGCTTATTACAAATTTGATGAAACCAAATGCTGATTTGGAAAAGTTCAATTTACTATTCAATTGCTATATTTCACCTATTCCAGCATTATCTATTAATTTTAATATTTTCACAATTCACTATTCCAGATATACACTCTACTGCATAACTCAAACCAAACCGTGAGTAATTTGACATCTCCAGCATTTGCTACATATTAATAACACGTTTACACTTTTTGTACTATATTCAAAACCCAACAAGAAGCAACAACAAAGCTATGGAATCTCTTCCCTTAACATTATAAAATTGTTCTTCCTTACAATTGTATTTGAAACCTCCGCCCTTCTTTGATTAGAAGCATCTAAATTATTCAGTGAGTGGCCAGGAGTCAATTGACCATTCTTGGATGCTATTAGTATTGTTTATTTTAACCGAATGTAATTCTCCATTCCTGCCTCTACCATACCCTCCCCCCCAAAAGTCAGATGTCTTCTTCCTATTTTGTTCTATAAGGTATGTCTCTCTGCTTAGGGGTACTTCGATCATAATAACCTTCAAGAGATTAAAAATGTTAAGTAAAACAGATGGATCAGAATATAACCAGTAGTTAGGCAACATACACATAACCGATCACGTCAGCGAAGGGTTGTTTGTAGAAAGCTTCATCTGCCACCCTAGATGGCAAGTGGTCCACAGAAGAGGCAAGCAGACAGAAGACAAAGAGAAAAGAATAAGCAAAAGGAAACATAGCCAAGTGGAATTAAATTTCAAATGATTAACATGCAGATTAATCTGACCCTAGAAAATACTTAGAAATTGTTAAGTGAAGGAAAAAAACATGTAAGAAATATGTGTTAAGAAATAAACTACACAGTTAAGAAACAACTTAGCTCAAGGAAGATAGGTTAGTCCTTTGCAGACAATCAAGCTTATAAAAAAAATCCTGATTGCTTTCTGTAAGTCTTCAAGGCATTGTTTTGCCCAATAAAAATTTCAACCTACGGGTATATTGGTAAAACTAAGTTGTAAACAAAAGCTAATAAAGGCAACTTTACTAATAGCTTTTTAAAAAGTGCCATGGTTTATGTTGAGAAAGGGAAAACCTGCTCTAGAGAGCAAGCATTCTGGCTATATAGTAAAGAGGACATGCCATCTGTCATCTTTGCAGTTCATTTTTATCACAAGGCAGGAGCTATGGTGGAAGAAGGCTAAGAAGCAACTGTAACTTCCTGACTGAAAATCACAGTAACCGCTAGAGAAAAAAAAAAAACTATTTATTGAATTGGCTGTAAAGTGAACTGTCAAAACACAGCAATATTTTTCAAGTGCTTCCTTCAGAAATATCAAATACTGATTGCAATGAAAAATCTTAACTCCTATTTTTCAGTTTTTATCCCAGACTACTGCAAGAAGAGATCTAACCAGGTATATACGTATGCATATATACATACACACAAACATACATATTATATAACCATAACAGTCTCTCTCTCTCTCTCTCTCACACACACACACACACACACACACACACTCACTCACACGTATATATTATACGCCTATAACATGCACAATTACGCATACACGCTGCCATTTAGTCTTTGGGAAAGGATTGAGACTGTCTCTATTACTGAAATTACAGTAGTTGTTCAATGGCACTAGCAAAGTCATGGTAATTCTTATTTTATATATAACTCCATCTATATAAAGCAAAAAGAGGGGAAGGGGGAATGAAAAAATCCTTATCCTGAACAGTAATGGATTCCTGAAAATTTCTCGGCAAGGATATTGTTTGCCAGTTATAATTAGCATAGAGCCACTATCATGTCAGCAAAAGAATATTAATAAAAAATTAACAAAATCCAGGATCATTAACAGTATCATTACCTGTTATTTGCTTTTGTTTTCTGTAGCTGTTCATCTTGTCTTGCATACCACTCCTCTAATTCCTTTATTGCTTTTTCCTTCCATTCTGCTTCTTGCTTTCGAGAGTTTGCATCTTTAAAAAAATATAGTCACAGACATGTGGTTTATACACAAATCTCTTGTCTTCTGGATGAAATAAAGCTAAGATTCTGAACTATTCCTAACTAAAACTATGAAGATTATAGAAGTTTGGGCATAAAAATCAATGGAATCTATAGTTCACCACTTAGATTTCGTTAATGACTATTACTGGCAGTAAGCACAAAGACTAGAATCAATTTCAAAATTAATAGTACAAATATATTAATTCCTTTCTGAAATGTAGCAAAAAATGAAACCAGATCCACCACACCAACAAAGTTCATGATCTGAAATAACTCTACAAGAGCAATGAAATAGTTGGTCACATATCCCAGTTTCCTTTTAAATTTTTAATCATCATCATCGTCGTCGTCGTCTTTATTGATTAGGCCATGGGCCATATCAAGGTGCAGAATTCCAAACAAACATTATATTAAAATGCAGTAAAAACAGCTTAGAATGGAATTAGTTAAAATATAATTTAGGATAAAACAGAAATAAAATACAATTTAAAATGAAATTGGGATAAAATATATTTTAAAAAAGAAATTAGAATCAAATACAGCAATTTAAGCTGTAGATAGATAAAATATGATAACATTATATTTCACGATCACCCCTACAATTTACCCCAATCAGTCTCACATATGATGATCTCAGCCGAACCATTTTGGTCAGGTACTGTGCTGTGTTAAATGTAATTTTCCAATTCTGGCTGCACATAAGGTAAGGTATTTTGATATGGGGGTCCCAACGGGTCATTTGTTTAGTGCAGTGTTTCCCAAACTTGACAATTTTAAGGCATGTGGACTTCAACTCCCAGAATTCCACAGCCAGCGTTGCTGGCTGTGGAATTCTGGGAGTTGAAGTCCTCATGCCTTAAAATTGTCAAGTTTGGGAAACACTGGTTTAGTGTATAGGCCAAGGTACCTGTCTCTCACCTTCTTATACAGGCAGCAGTGAAATAGGATGTGAGCCCAGTCCTCAACCTCTGCCACTTTGCAGATGCTGAGACGTTCATTATAGGATATAGAGTGGAATCTCCCATATCTGGCCATTTAAGTTTTTTCTTGCTTCTGTTTTTGAAATATTAATGACTAGTTCTTGCAAAAATTAAATATTCTACATAGGTCAATGAATGCTATGCAAACTAATCAGCAGAAAAACATTATACATGTGGGGGGGGGGAAATCACACAAATGAATTATTTCTAGCATTTGAGATTATTTGGCAAGGATGTTCATTATATATATTCTATAGTATACTTTAACAACAGATCTGCCCAAGCTTCTGTGCCTGAATAATTCTCTCCTCTCTACCCAAAGGGCAGGAAGACATAGTCAAAAGGGAGTCAAGATGGATCCAAGGGAGAGGGCCCCCAATAGCAAATGAAGCATGCCTTGCCTATGGCTTGCAATTCGGGGATAACTGACAATACTGTTGCTCCAACAGTCCTTACTCGGTTGAAAATAAAGTTCCCATTAACAGTTATGTGCTGCTGAAAATTAGATTCTTACCAAGCTCTTCTAGGCGCTCCCGCTGCTCTTCTCTCCATTTGCGAATGCTCTCTGGTTCTGTCTGCAGACGATCAGCTTGAGATATAGCAGCATAGCAGTCTGAAGGACCATTGCTCTCCTGAGCCAGACAAAGAGGCAACCATTTTTATAATTGCTCATGAATAAAAATGAAGTTCTAAGATAGCTTTGCTAGGAAAATGTAAGAAGAGGCAAAGGGATCAATAATGACAAGTTATTTGGGAAGATTTGGTACTATATAACCTCCATGGCAAATGAAGCATTAAAAGCATTAAAGAGAGAAGCAACCTAGAACTAAAGAGAATCTTCCTGACCGTTAGAACAATTAAATCAATGGAACAACCTGCCTCCAGAAGCTGTGAATGCTCCAACACTGGAAGTCTTTAAGAAGAGATTGGACAGCCATTTGTCTGAAATGGTAAAGAGTTTCCTGCCTAAGCAGGGGGTTAGATGACCTCCAAGGTACCTTCCAACATCATCATCATCATCATCATCATTATTATTAATTCATTAGATATGAACCTCAGTCAACTGAACATTCAAATTGGCTGGCGCTGATAGTTAACATGGGTTGCTACCAGCATCCTAGGTGTCAACCAGGTACCCTCTTAAAATAATAATAATAATAATAATAATAATAATAATAATAATAATGGAGAGGAGGACGTGGCAGTGCCTGGAGATAGCAGAATAGAAGAGAAAGAACTGGAGAAGATAACAAAATACAAAGACCTACAAATAGAAATAGAAAGACTGTGGCAAAAGCAAGCAAGGGTAGTACCAATAGTCATAGGCTCCTTGGGTGCAATCCCAAAACAACTGGAGCACCACTTGAACACAATTGGCATCGACAAATTCGCTATTAGTCAATTGCAAAAGGCGGCCTTATTAGGAACTGCTTCCATCCTGCGACGATATCTGTAATACCATCAAACATCCACATCTGCCTATCCCAGGTCCTGGGTAAGGACTCGATAGGTAGACAAAATGCCAAATCCAGTCTGAACATCTGGCTGACTGTGCGATGATCGATAATAATAATGGAGAAGAGAACAAGGTTTCTGGGTTTCAGCCTTTTAAAAAAAGTATCCCCAGCTTAAGTTATGAAAAAGCAAGAAAATCTCATCTTTTGCTGAACAGAGAAGGGGCAACACTAGTAATAGTATTTTGCTAAATATAGATGAATCCTAGTCATCTGTAGGAAATAGAGAGTGATATAATTGTCAGATTAGACTACTGGCAAGCATCTCCTATACTTCCCTGATATCACACTGACCTTCAAAGAGGTGCTGCCACTCAATATACTTTTCAAATAATAAAAAGAGACATATGGTATGTTTATTTAAATTGGAAGATTCATCATGTACTCATGGTAAATATTTAGAAGCCAATTTGATGTAGTGGTTAGGGTATCAGGGTAGAAATCTGGATATTGTGAGTTCTGGTCCCATTATAGGTCCAAAGCCATGGGTGAATATGAGCCAATCACTCTTTCTCAGTCTTAGGAAGGAGGCAATGGCAAAACACTTCTGAAATATCTTGCCAAAAAAACCCACATGGATCTATCCAGGCAGTATCCAAGAACTGGACATAATTGAACAGAAGAAAAATATATATACCATCGTATGGCTCTTTGAATTACAGGTGGTCCTCAACTTAATACTATAAGGACCGGAAAATTCATTGTTAAGTGGGACGTGATATGACTGTGACCTCTGTCGTCTCCTGCCCCTATTGATTTTGTTCACTGGAAGTCAGATGGGAAGATTGCAAATGGCAAACGTGTGACTGCAGTACATTGCAATCGTAATGTGAGTTGGTTGCCAAATGCCCACATCATGATCATATGACCATGGGGATGCGATGGTCGTTAAGTCACTTTTTTCAGCGCCACGTAACTTTGAACAGCTGCTAAATGAATGGTTATAAGTCGAGGACTAGCTGTGTGCAGATCTGCTTTCTAACCACATTCACCATATGACAGGCACTTTGTTAGTGCTTCATACTATCACAATTATCTTTTTTATATTTTATATTACTAATACTTTTCATATTATACTTTAACTGCACAATATATATTTTCCCACAGAATGCTCTGAAGCTAGTTGATTGAGGAATGATCAGTTCTGAGACAAACATACCAAAGAGCTCAAAAAGAAAGGCAAGTTCATAAATAACAAGAATCTGCTGCAGGTGCTGAACACAATAGGTGTATATTTATAAATTGACAATAAACAGAGATGCATGTGATAATCAAAGTGCCTTGTCAGCTTTTTGGCTGACTCCCCCTCCCTAACCTGTTTTTTTTCCCCCCTGGCATAGTCCTAGCATAACCCCTTGCATCCCAGGGAAACAGTAACAGAAGCTTTTAGGAATTCTTACATTCACATAACTTCTTACTCTTGTATCTATGCCAAGATTCAAAGCAAACAGGGAGTGAGTTGCTGAGATGCAGAAAAAAAGAGAATCCCTTCTGCTTTTCTAAGAATACCCACTAGCCAGCCTTTTAAATTTTAGAAATCAGTTGACAACTCCAGCATCATGTGGGTTTAATACTGAAGTGCCGGAACAGGCAACAAAACATTGTCAAGAGTTTGGTTCAATCAGTGGTGACCATTCTTATAGTAGAATTTTACTTACCTGGTAGATATCGCCATTCGTCACTCCATCAATTGCCTCTGAGGAAGAAGAAAATGGTCTAGGTTAACTTTCTTAGCAACAGAATCTTTCTTTAAAAGAAGAAGCATTTAAGACTATGTAAGAAAGTAAACTAAAGAATGATGCTTTAATTACGGTATAGTATTGTAAACTAGCTTCACCCTCTCAGCAGGAAATTGCGAGACTATATAAACTAAGAATAAAGAGACAGAAAGCTCATGTTTCAAAGTTCTTCTCTTTCAATTGTTTACTTGATGGACAATTTTTTTCAATCCAACTCTTCCCTTCCTAATATAATATTTTATAAGATACCAGTTTCAAGGTACCTGTTAAAGCCACTATTATAATAATATATAATAATATATATTATTCCACAAGAAATAAACAATTCTCTGAAAAATAATTCCAGTGATTAGAAGTTGAGTCTAACCAGAGTAAAGCATAAATTCTACTAGATTAGGAAAATTAAAAGCTACATTTACTTTGGAAGAAGTTATAAAATGCTTAAAAATGAAATGCCAAGAATTACCACTTTCCAGTGAGATTCAAGGAACTAATAAGACTGGTTATATTTAAAGAGAATAAGAAGCTTATTTGAGGGACAGCCTCTTCCCAGTTACATCTACCCATCCCATCAGGTCTACATGAGAGACATGATGCGGATGCCATCAGTCAGAGAGTTTAGTCCAGACATGTCAAACTCGTGACATCGCATGATGTATTGGGACTGTTTTGCCATTGCCGGCTATGGAGTGGGCGCAGCTTCTTCATGACACATCCGGCCCACGAGCCAGCAGTTTGACACCCCTGGTTTAGTCCCTGAGGTAAGATTGGCTGTCTAGAAAGTACTTAAAAGTTATTCTGTCAAATAGCTTGGGGATCCAACATTAGAAATGAACCTGCTAGGTGGCTATATATAGTTAATTGAATGCACTCTCTTGTATGCTTTCCTGTCATTTTGTTTTATTTTTTATCTTATTTTTCTTAATTTAAATTGGTTTTTAGTGGTTATGTATTTTAATATATATGCCACCCAGGGTCACTATGTGAAATGGACAGTTATACAAATGTGTTCAATAATATAAAGAATGCATAAATGTATATATAATCAAGAATGCATAAATGTATATATAATCTGCTTGAATCAATCCAGTGGAAGACAAAGGCTGCTTCACTGAAGATTATGGAGCTTTATCTACCATGCTGGTCCACTGCACATCACTTGATAGGTATTTTCAGTATATGGCTGAGAGGACCAAAATCACCCAGCTGGCTTCTGTGCCTAAGCAAGGACCAGAACCAAGACTCCTGACTGCTAATCCAGTACTTTAACCATGACACCTCAGTGGCTCTTATATTTACCTGTACAAATATATGAGTGAAAATGCTACTTTAAAACTCTTAATCTCAAAATATTATTTTCATTTACATACCTCAAATAGTTAGGCAATGCAAAAGTATATATTATGCTAAGAATTATACAACTAAAATAGAGTACTTTGCAATACAATGTCTAGCATCATATATATATGGATAATTAGATGTATGTATGTATGTATGTGTATGTGTGTATATATATATATATATATATATATATATATATATATATATATATATATATACATACACACACACACACACACACACACACACACCCCTAAACTCTCCTGGTGATCGTATTTTATTTATATTATTTTTATATCTATCTATCTATCTATCTATCTATCTATCTATCTATCTATCTATCTATCTATCTATCTATATGGCACAGCCATTTTATATATATATATATAAATGGCACAGCCTTATAGCATAAATGATTTAGTATTAGAAGTCTGAGTGACAACAGCTTCTATGATTTTAAGCTACATTGGTTGATACAGAAGAGATGCGGCTATCCCAGAAATATTCCATTTATTTCCAGAAAGGAGGGTTTTAAATATAAATTTGACTGGAAGACCAGTCTTCTAAGAATAAAAAGTGATCAGAGTTGCCAGAAGAACAAACTGTTGCTTCTGACGGTTAGTTTTGTTTACCTACAGGAGGAAGACTGATATGATAAACATTTTATCTTGAAGGTTCAAGTTATAAAGGCTCCCCTTCCCCTGAGATCAGCTTGCTAAAATATGAAGTTCAGATCACAGTAGAAATGGTTTCTTGTAGAACTTTAATTCCAAACAGACTAAATTTGTCTGCCTGGGCCACTTGTTCAGAAATATCAATTCCTTGATCCTGTTGGGTGATTATTTCACACTCAATTCCTATTCAAGAATCTCTGAGTTTCTAGAGAAAAAAATAAGGCAGATCCCAGTCTGCTTCATCATGATTGAATCTGCTTTCTATGCTACCAGAGTAAAGTAAAAATGAAGCCCAGACAATAAACCCAACGGAGTCCATCATCAATGCCACAAGCCACTGAGTCTAGTTTGTTTTGCTAGCTGGAACTGAAGAGATCATTCTCAAATTAAAATAATCCACACATCCAAAGAGAGCAATGGGAGGGAGAGAAATACCTACATTATTATATTATCATATTCTCTGTAAATTTAAGATGTCTCTGTCATTTTAATATTAAACTGAAGAAATACACTATAATTTCTCTCAGGTAAATACAGCAATACGTTTGTCTCATGGTGCCAAATAAGTTCAAATTTATCAAGCTCAAAGGAAATAAAAGGGCAAGAAAAATAACTATTTATTTGATACAAACTATGTGGAAAGAAGTTCAAATCAATTTGCAACTGTGCAAGAAATCCAGAATTATGAACACTTGGCTCTAAATCCCAAACCTCCTATTTCTATTAAGAAGTATTTCAGACCTTTGCTTAGAGAATTCTAAATATAAATGGGCAAGATGTACAATCTTTATCTGCCAAAAAGGATTTACTTAGGTGGTCAAGTCTATCAGCTTCAGCACAGCTAGACTGTTAGGCCAAATAAAAATACTGCAATATAGAAGAGTTATGACATTGATGTACTTTAATGTGTTCCCAAGAACATGTATATGGGAAGGGAAATATATAAAACTCCAATAAGAAGACTAGCTCGGTTCATGCAGGGTAGGCCCTATATGGAAACTACAGATCATTTTCTTTTATATTGTTTTTTCTATAATGACATCTTTACATATTCTACAATTCCATTAATACAATTTTCCAGGGCAAGTAGAAAATTAGATTCATTCTCTACTGTCAGATTAGAGCAACTTAATTTCCCATTAGGTTTTTTTAAAATTCTACCTTATTTCCAAAATTCATAACAATCCACAGTTTAGAATTAAAGTTTTATTGAGATTATCAGTTTTATTAATTTTAATATTTTTTTAAAAAAATTTACCCATAATAATTAGCTAATATTGTGAGATTTGAGTCACACAAATCAAAAGGTTAAATATTTAAAGAGATGAGGGGGAAAATCCAGTATACTAGATTTTTTTTTTTTTTTTTTTTAGAAACAGGAACTTTACACTTGGCTATTCCATCCTTTGCCAGATGATTAGATATCTGTGGTCAAGTTCTTCCTGTTATTTCCGAAAATAGTTACCAGGAACAGAGCACATCAGGCCCTGAAACCAATTCAAACCCATGTTTTCAAATCCCAGATTTTTTTTGTAGGATGTTGAAATCTGCAACATGTAAGAGAAATAAGTGTGTGTGTGTATTTGTTTTACTAAGAAAAGATGTGAAACATCGAAACTGGATCACATTTTTACATTTCCAGGTTGCCTGGTAGGAAAACAGATTTCACATTCAAATGTCAACAGTTAATTTAAGGAATATTTTTAATTGCAATTATTTAAATAAATGCTTTAGTTGAGCTCCATTGTCAGAAAGGATAATTTAGAATATTATTATATGAAATAAATTCCATTCAACAGAACTGTATCTGGAACAACTTAAGATTCTGTGTTTAGATTGTGCTAATGAATACCATATTATTGAACACATAACTGTAACTTTCACTGTGCAGTTATTTTCTCTGTTTCTCCGCTTATTCATAATTCATAATGACTACTGTGCTCATGGATTGTTTCTTATAATACTAAACAGCTTTATGTACTGTATGCATTAAAAATGGCTCTGATAGTAAATAAAACTTAACGTTTGCATTGGATTAAACATTCCTAGAGGCACAGTCTGATAATAAGAGGGGAACACTATCTGCATTTAAAAGAAAATAGAGCATGAAGCTGATAAGGAGTTATAATTTATCTACACAGTGAAGCAGAAACCCGCACCTGTCTCCTTCCTTCACCAAACATACCTAACAATAGCATTTACTATTTAATATTATTCCCCCACCACCACCTTTGAGGGAAATGGGGAAATGAAGGATACATATTTCATAAAGAGAATCATATCACAGGGGGAAACCTAATTAGTTCCAAGTGGTGATATAAACATTTTATTAGGTATGGAAATTTAATCAATTTAAAGACAAAGCACTGTCTTTAAAAACAGAATGCCATTCTATCGAATAGTAATAACATTTTCTAAGTTTTAGCTGTTGGGACACTCAAGTTTTAGAAAATATGAACTGGGTTGATATCTTTCCAAACTCCTTTTCCACCAAAACATTTTTGCATTGCTCTTCTATTCTTTCCAAACCAATGGAATGTTGGAAAGATACTGTTGTAGGATAGCCTGTCATAAAATGGAACAAAAAAAAATGTATATAAGGAGGAAGAATCCAATAAAATAAAGGCTGAGTTTGAAAATGCGGAGCCAAGTTAAAATTTCCAGAAAAAGCCCACTAATGCATGCTATGGGAGGGGCATTTAAGCAGTGGCTTAAAATGTTACTAATACCAGCATTCTGAGCTTACTTCCCCCTGGTCACATGACCCAGGGTACAAATATGGTTAATATCTGGAAAAATGTCAGAAGCCATCATCTACATGGTTTCTCATTTTTTATTCTATTAATTTTGCTATCCATTATTTTATTTGCTCTGAATATTTAGCCAAGGAAAACATCGAGGATGCTGCAATACAGGAACACCCTATTGCCGTGGTGGCGAACCTATGGCACGCATGCTACAGGTGGCACACAGAGCCCTCTCTGTGGGCAGACGCACTGTCGCCTCAGTCCTAGGCCTTCAGCTGGATTTTATAAAACCTTTTTGCTTTAGGCCTCCGCCGCTGGGTACAAAAAAGAAAGGTTCAATCAATCGATCAATTTCAACTTCTCGTGGGGGAAAAAAAATCTCGCAAAGTTGGAATTGATTGATTGAACTTTTCAGTCCTACCCAGCCTACCGTTACCACTGCAGCCACGCCCACCCAATGGGCCATACCCACCCAATGGGCCATGCCTACCCGGCGATACATAAGTGGGGTTTGGGTTGCAGTTTGGGCACTCAGTCTCTAAAAAGTTCGCCATCACTGCCCTATTGCATTCCAAGCGAAGCAGAACATGGCAAAATATATAAATGTTAAGGATGACAATTTAATGATTATAAAATCAAACCCACAAATCTCTACATGGTTTAAAATTAACAAGATAACAAAAAAATAGAAATGCATGTTCTTCTTTCAGTACCAGTAACTCCTCCTTACAGTTCTAAAAAAATAAAAATTTTCTCCCTATACTCTGTCAAAGTGGAAACCAGACTATGAATGCACTCAGAAACTAAGACCACCATTTCACCCAACATTGATTGTAATTACCTGCACAGGCCCCCAGCTCAAATCCCAAAGACAAGCTATAGCCGAAAGTATGTTACTCTGCTCAGCCCCAAAGTAATGTCTCCTTGCATTTGTCACAGAACTGCAACCAATGGTATTGTGCTCAGAATTACACAGCAGGCTATTAAATGAATATATCACATTTTTATTTTGTTCAAAAATGTAGATCAGTATTTCTTAAACAAACCTAACTTTAAATCCACATAAAATATATCCCACAGAACCTGAACATGTGTCTGTAATAAAGCCAATCTATTTGTTTTTTCACAAAAGCTTATTTCATAAGCTGTGCAAATTATCCTTCAAATATATATGTAAAGAAAATGACTCTGTGTATGTAAATAAATAAGCAAACAAAAATATCTATTTTAAACCAAACCCATCTCTAAAGCTTTTAGCCAATCATTCTACAACAATTACTATTCGTTATCAAATATGTAATGGATTTGTCACATATAGCAAATGCCAGGAAAAACTCAAGCTGATTTACATTATTCTTATCAAAAACAAATGAAGCAGCAGGGCCATTTGATCCAAAGACTTTATATTAAATAAACACTGAATTTATGAAGTATGCTTCGACTTTCCTTTTCTACTAATCCAAATTAAGATCAAGCCATTTTAATTTATTCAAATACCCGATTGTGTTCAAGATTGCTTTTCTATTTTCTATATACGCCCACTTGTTCCTCTAATTTTTGTGTGTGTGTGTGTGTGTGTGTGAATTTGAACTGCTATTGCACAAAACAGATATGAGAGCAGTTGAGGAAATAAAATCCATCCTTAAGAATTGTAAGACAGCATGTACTGAATGCTTCTGCTTTTTCTCCCATTTCCTACAGCCAGGGCAGTGTGATGGCTCAGCAGTTAAGATACTGAGTTTGTCGAGTGGAAAGCCGGCAGCCCAAGTTCGAGACCTGAACTACATGTGATAGGGTGAGCTCCTGTCCTTGCCCCAGCTCCTGCCAACCTAGCAGTTTGAAAGCATGCAAATGTGAGTAGATAAATAGGTAGCACTTCGATGGGAAAGTACAGTGCTCTGTGACATATTGGCCACATGACTGCAGAAATGTCTTTGGACAGAGTTGGCTCAATAGCCTTGAAATGGAGATGAGCACTGCTCCCTACAGGCAGCAACAACTAGTAGAATAAAATCTGCGGGGACTCCTTTCCTTTTTTACTGTATCTATAGCAAGAAGGCTCCTCAAAACCCTTCTGATGGCAAGTCAAATCTGGCATTAGCTAACACTTTTTGTTCTCATTCTTCTTATAGTGACCATCAGGATAACTTAACATACTGCAAACAGAAGTCTCTTTTAGTTAGATATTCTACCTTCTTCTGCAAAGGGGACAAAACCATCTTTTAGAGAAATTCAAGATACAGGTGGTCATTTACTAACCATTTGAAGTTATACCACCCACCCCCAGCTACTTATGATCCGAGTTTGAAATTATGATAGCCAACCTCCCCATGGTTACATCATCATATTTTCGGCATTTGGCAACTGGTTTATCCTTATGGCTGATTGCCGCTTCCCAGGGTCATGTGACTGCAATTTTTGGCAGTTTTTCTGGTTTCCAACGTTTCTGGATGAAAAAGCACATTGGGTAAAATGGGTTCATTTAGTGACCAGAACAAAAAATGTTGTAAAATCAGGTATGATCATGTGGTGACCTGCTTAACTATCATAATTCATAGCTCAATTATGGTCATAAGTCAAGGAGTACCTGTACTGTACCCGTAGTGATTTTACACTAAGGAATTTCATCAAGATTGCTTCATAGGAGCAGTCTTAGTTTTATGATGCAGAGATTTTGAAATAGAAAGGAACTAGGTGGTTAAGGAACCACAGTAGAAATCAGGAGACCACAAGTTCTGATCCTGCCTTCGGCACAATGCCAGCTGCATTAACGTGGGCCAGTCACTTCCTCTTAGCTGTAGGAAAAAGGCAATGGCATAGCACTTCTGAAAAACCAGGAAACTACAGGGACTTGTCCAGGCAGTCTTCAAGAGTCAGATACAATTGAACAGAAGGGCGAAAGGGGTGTTAAAGCAGATGTTTTATTTGGCTATTTCATCAGTTTCCTAGCATTGAATGTACTTTAGTCCTAAAAACACTTAACACTTCTCTGCATTGGCAGAAGATAATGTTGTACAACCACTAAATGGTTATCCATAGTCTAGGAATGAAATACAATAGTGGATCAAATCATAGCCAAAAATGCAATCTGTAGTCTCAAGCTGGAATCGCACAGATCGAGAACAGATTTGTTTCTATAATTCATTTCATGCTAATCAAATATAAAATAGGGTGAACGAGAATCATTTTTAAAAGGAAGAAAAAAGAGAAAGAATTTGTTTTTCTTTAACTTACAGAAACTTACAGTATCCACAAAGGAGGAATTGACCTGTCTTGATTAGGGACAAAACAGTAAGTTTACAAAAGATTAAAAATCTTTTTTTGCTGAAAATGAACAAAAAGGATTTGCTGATTAAAATATATTAAGCATGGGAAGAAGGGAATGATAATATAAAGGGGAAATGGTAAAAGCTTATAACTGCTATAAAGAAGATCAGAAACCACTTCTTTAACCTTTTCCCTTTTTTTCTCTTTATTTCTATCTTTTTTGTCCAAAACCTATACTCTATAATAAATCTAGTATAAAACATCCAAGTTAAAGGTTTGGTGATGGTGTCCCTTTAATATTTAACAAATTTTAGATTTATTATGTTGTTTAAAGAACCACCAAAGGAAGGAAATGGTGACTGAGAGAAGGTACTTACAGTTTCTTACTAAATATATAGCGTGAAAAGACATGTAAGCAGCTTAGAGTATAAGCTGAGAAGACCTAGTTTCACAACATTTTCCTAAATGGACTTTATGTTTAAATAAATAATTATATTCTGCCCAGTTCAGAGATTCCATGTTGCTGATAATTTAAAAAAAAAAAAAAATAACAGAAATCGCTCAATAGCTATATAGTTTTAAAAAAAGGGAACCAGTTGACGTGCATATGAGGATTAGACACAAAACTGCTGATCTTAATTGCCTTATGCTCTTTTAAAGGCCCAGATCTCTGTTGCTTTGTGGAAAGATAGAACTATATTGTAGTGGGCATACAGTTTTCAGGGGAAAGAAAATTCCCCAAGGAACCAACCAGCTTCTGAAAAAGGCCTGTTTCAGGTCTATTCCCCCTTGAAGTGTTGAGGAGGAATCCACAGCATTCCTTCATGGACTATTCAAAACAGGATGAGTGGATGCTAGAGAAGGCAGGCCCATAATTATTTCGGCCCCAAGTAGGAATTATAAGTAATGACCAGCACCTTGAATGTTATGTGGAAACAAATACAAATACTGGCGTTGATATGAACCAAAGTTGTTGGGAAGACGAGCACCCCAATAATCTAAAGTGAATTGTGAGGCAGGAAGAAGAGGTGGAAAAATGTGAAGCGCAATGATTTCTAGTCAAATCTCCGACTGGAAAAATGACTAAAGAAAGGGAAGTTTGAGTTCAGTTTCGCGGCCAGTTTTCTTTACCGTTGCTCATTTTTGTTTGTCATTCGACGCTTGGATTCTCCCTACCACGTATCAGACGGGGCGAGGCAATCTGCCTCAGGCAGCCAACTCTCAAATATAGGCTCTCATTAAGAGGCAGAGAAGAAAAAGGCGCCTAGAGTCCCAAGGAGCGTGTCGGCTGCAATTGCTTCCAGGGACATGAACTGGCTCAGTTTGGGGGTGTTCGTTGTTGTTGTTGTTGTTGTTGTTGTTGTTGTTATGCCTCAAGTACGTACGGTATTTTTTTTCAGAACCTCCCAAACATTTCAGATTAACCCATCGGACTGCTTTCCAAGTTTGGGGCTACCCGCTATTACAAGAGTCTTCACCTACGATCATAACGGCACAGATTCCCCTCGGGTCAGCCTAACGAGAACACAGCCAAGAGCGGAAGGGGAGGCAGGGTCTCTAACCACCATTAGGCCACTCTACCCCACCTCCACCCACCCCCCCGCACAGCTATCGACGGGTCAACGGAGGGCTCGAGCGCGAGGCTTCCCTCCCCGATCACGTGACCGACTCCCCCCCCCCGCCCTGCACATGCCACTTTCTCCCCCCCTTCCCCCCACCCGCGCGCTCTCTCCTCGGCCGCCGCTTTCCTACCTGCGGTCAGCGCGTCTTGGCCTTGCAGCCCGACGGGCACCTCGCCGTTTTCCAGGATATTGTAGCCCTCGTCGTTCTCGATGCCCGCGATTTCATTCTCCTGCTGGGCCAGGAAAGCGGCGGCTGGGTCTTCTTCGCCGCCAACCCCCAGTGCCCCGTTTCCCGCCACTGGCTGAGGGGAGCCGAAGAGATCGAACTCGGCCATGAGCGAAAAGGAATGCGGGTGGGGGGGGAGCCAACCGAAGGAACGGATCCAAGAGACAAGCGGCAAAAAAAATAAAAATAAAAAACCCAACAACCCCACACGAAGCAACCGTTTAACGGATAGCAAGCACTATTTCCGGCTTCCTGCTGCTAATCGTCCAGCAGTCAGCACCCTTTTTCTCCTTTCCTTCCTCCGCCCTTCCCCGGAAAGCTCCTAGAGTGATGGCCCAAAACCACCAACCAATTGAGGGGAGAGAAAGGCATAAGCCAATTAGTGTGCCCGGAAGGCGGGATTCCGACGACATTCCGCACACGTGACCTCTCTACTCATTCGCTCGGAGGAGGAAGAGAAAGCCCCTCATGGGCGGGACGTTTTTTACCTCTCTCTCGCCTCGTAAACTAGACTCCGTGTTTGACACGTTAAACCTATCGGTGGTATTGAGGCAAAGACGGGATTTATAAAGCGAATGGCCTGCGGTACATTTAATGAAAGGAGGAGCGCCAAAGTTCGCTCGAAAGGGAAAAGCTCCTTTACGCGCCCTTCTCTGAAAAACAGGTGCCAGCAACTTACTAGCACTTAAACTACTAAGCACTTGTGGCTTCGGTGTCACTTTGCCAAATATAACAGAAAGACGAGTACACTACAAGGAGAAGGTTTCCTATTCTCTCTGGCCGATCGGTTTATTGCAGACAAGCGCTAGGAATTATCTGGCAATACTTACAGATCTGTATTAAGAGCCAGTAAAGAAAATTTAAGACAAAATTGAAATACATCTGTAAAACAATCTGGCTAGAATTTGTGAAGTCTAAAAATATCTGGGTTATATGGTATCTACATTTATATAAAGTGTGACTACAATTAAAATTACAAAAAAGTATCTAAAATGTTTGCAAAGTCAGATAATATCTAAAATTACAACTAGTGGTATCTAAAATTACATAAAATACCTCTGTAGCAGTAACTTGGCCCATCGGTCTGGCGGATCTTACATGTTTCTGTGAAACTTAGTCACACAGCTCTATAATAAATGGCAGTCTGTCTGGCCAGTTTGTTTTTCATGACAAGCAGAAACTTTATTTTTATTTTTTTTTTTGCAACAGGACTTAGGCACTTCAAAATCTGTAGAGACATTCCTTGTAAAACTTATTCTAGTGAAAAAGTCCATAAAGAGGTAATTGTTTTCTGGTTCTCCAGAATACAGTTCAAAACTTGGTAATGTCAGAATATTATAAAGTTGCCTTTGTATTCATATACTGAACGTAACTGTTTTGCTTTACATTGCTTTGGTAAGGTGGTTATGCTGGGTCTCATGATTTAGAAAGCCCTTTATTTGTTCTGAATCCATTTGTAACCGCAGGAATAATCCAATCATTTGTATAGTTTTTAAAGCTATAACTTATCAACTTATCTTCCTAGAGCAGTGCAAATCTTCCTTTTTAGTGCAAATTAATATTTTAAATTATATATAACAAAACACATCTGCTTTTTAAGTTGGATATCAAAGCAGGTGGTAGTTTGTGATTGGCCGTTTCTGGGCTTGGAAACTAAACTACTTTTAGTTCTTGAATGGGAAACTAAGGGAATTCCAGGGCTATAGGCTAGACTGGAAAGTCAAAAACATCCTAGAAGAAGACAATAGCAAACACTTCTGTATTGTTGCCACTCAAAATGTATTAACATGTCCAAGGAGTCACCAGGAGTTAGTACTGTAAGGAGAGGTTCAGACTACATGTGGGAGATAATAATTTTGTTCTGTAATGTTTTTATACTTTCCTTTTAAATATTATTTTGAATCGAGAGGAAGCAGGAAAGTATGGACTGGCCTTATTTAATAATAATAATGATGATGATAAAGTTGGAAGGGACCTTGGAGGTCATCTAGTCCAACCCCCTGCTCAGGCAGGAAACCCTATATCATTTCAGACAAATTGTCTCTTCTTAAAAACTTTCAGTGTTGGAGCATTCACAATTTTTGGAGGTAGGTTGTTCCACTAATTGTTCTTTCCAGAAATTTCTCCTTAGTTCTAGGTTGCTCCTCTCCTTGATTAGCTTCCATCCATTGTTTCTTGTCCTGCCTTCAGATGCTTTGGAGAATAGCTTGACTCCCTCTTCTATGTGGCAACCCTGAGATAGTGGAACACAGTTATCATGTCACCCCTCGTCCTTCTTTTTATTAAACTAGACATACCCAATTCCAGCAACCGTTCTTTATATGTTTTAGCCTCCAGTCCCCTAATCATCTTTGTTGCTCTACTCTGTACTCTTTCTAGAGACTCAACATCTTTTTTACAATGTGGTGACCAAAACTGGATGCAGTATTCCAAACGTGGCCTTATCAAGGCATTGTAAAGTGGTATTAGCACTCTGTTAATGCAGCCTAGCACTGTGTTGGCTATTTAGCTGATTGTCCACTAGGACTCTGAGATCCCTCTCCCTCTTACTACTATTGAGCAAGGTACCACCTATACTGTACTTGTGCATTTAATTTTTCTTGTCTAAATGTAGAACCTTATTTTTTTCGCTATTGAATTTCATTTTGTTAGATAGTGCCCAATGTTCAAGTCTGTCAAGATCTTCTGTATCCTAAGCCTATTCTTCTGGAGTGTTGGCTATTCCTACCAGCTTGGTGTCTTAAGTTCTTGTAACAAATTTTCATTTCCTCTTTCTTCAAAGAAATACAGCTTCAGTTCTCCACTCTTATTATCTAGAAATCACTGAGCAATCATTAGTAGAATGATAAAGGTTTGCCATTTTTTTTAAGATCACAGAGGTCAATAGCTAGCTTTCTTGGACAGTCACAAAGCTAGAATTGTTCAACACATTAAGCCACAAACTAGCTAACCAACTTAGTTTTATAGTCCAGTGTGAATTACAAATTCCCTAAAATGGGGTGAGTAGCCATGATTCAATTAATAGTGTATTTAAACATAGCCATTGTGGAAAAGGACTTAGTAGGCTGCATACCGTATATTCCGACGTATAAGATGACTTTTGAGAGCGTTGAAACAGCCTCCGAACTCGGGGATTATCTTATACACCGAGTCATCTTATACGCCGGAAATAAGGTAGTTTCTGGCGTATAAGACGACTTTCTAGGTATGCGACTCAGCGTCGATCGTCTTGCGACTCGGCGTTGAACTCGAGGGTCGTCTTATACGCCGGGTCGCCCTGTACGCCAGAATACACAGTATATAAATACGTAAATAAATATATACATCATCACTCATCCTCTGTGGCCTACATTAAAATGCAGTTTTCTCCACTTTGATATTTCACACTAAGCTGAATTTTAAAAAGAGTGAGGAAGGAAGAAGGAAGGTTTGTCTTACATAATTTTACACAAGGGATTTGATGAAAGATAAGTTATACTCTTTACATATATCTAAGGATTTACAAACTTCTTTGTCTACTTTACTACTACTTGAGGACCAACTAAATACTGCTGTCAAATAACAATTATTTTACTGCAACAGCAGCAACAGCTTTAATTCCAAGTGCCTCTTCTTGAAAAAATGGCTCCTCTATTCTCCAAATCCTCTTTGTGGAAGAATTACTATGAACCAGTTGTTTTCCTGTCTTTGGTATTGCAAAGGCAATGTGTGCAGGAAAAGAAATTGCTAAAGAAAATTGACCACAAGTTTTACTTTTATTTAAAACTACTGTATATATTTTGTAACAGATAGAATTGAAAACGGCATAACTGAGGATGAAAAATAAGTAACTTTTAAAATGCTGCTGAATTCAACTGAATATAGTTCAACTCTCAGTATTTCTTAACCAGGGACAATGTTGGCTGGGACACTGGAAGCTAACAATATGTGGATAGTTAGACGTTTCCCACTGTTGCTGATTTTTTATGATTTTTGTGAACAGCTCTGCTAACTGGATAGAAGAACTCCTAATATTGCATTCTTCTTTTAAATCTGTGTTAGGAAAAGAGACTATGATCATTTTTGTTTCCATACAGAACATGGGAGTCTTAGTGCTTGAGAACATGTAAATCTAAATCACAACACATTTAGAAGGTAACTATTATTGCTATTTCTCTTTGAACCTGTAACAAAATAGTTAAGAATATTTGTGGACTTTAGAAGTTGTCACTGCAATCATTCCAAAGTCTTAATGCTTAGACAAATGATTCTTCCCAGAGATTAGGACGTAAAAATGTGCACTGGTCACTGTTGTGCAATTTCACATAGTCAGGGTTTTAGATGAACCATGCAGTGTAGGTCAAGTGAGAAGGTACAGTAATGGCCCTTGCCTTGCCTCTTGTGTCTGAGCAAGCTAGTATCTAGTTTTTAATCCACTGTTTTGAAATATGTTTAAATATTTAACATAAAATCACAGAATGAAACATTTTTAACTACTATATTAGTATTGCACATGATCTCTAGCTGATTATTCTACCCTAGATAAGTGCCATATCCCCCTCCTGTATTCTCATCCTAATTACATTTACATATTATGATAAAGGGACAAAAGGAAGTGTCCATCTATGTATCTGTAAACTGCATTTCAGTCAATCTTTATTGCTACAGATTGTTTCATTTTGGTTTCACAAATTAATTGACTACAGTTTTTTGGAGGATCTTGCATGGCAACTTAGCCATGCAGCAAGCAGGACAATCAAGAGCTTCTGGAGGCTCAGCTAAAATCCTCCATTCCCCATTGCTTTGGTCTAACATATAGGCTTGCCGATTAATAGAATACTCCTCTGGACGTTTGTCACCAGGACAAATAAGTCCACCACATACAAACACTTTGTTATTCCCAATAGAACACACTGCATGTGACAGATCCAGACTATAGTTATTTGGCAGTAGAGGCACAAGGCTTGAGGTTTTGCTAACTTTAATCTTCTGCAGATTTATTTCCATGCTCTCTTTGTGGCTCTGTATACTCAAAATGTTCTCATGTGGAAACGACAACAAGGGCTTATGATTGAATTGAATGGGAAAAGTGATATACTGGACCACATTCCTGGTCTCAGTGTCAAAGCAATCTAGCACACCTACTCGTGAGAAGCGCCCATTTACCAGACATCTCCCTGTCACAATGTAAATAGACTTGTCTCCCTTGGTGATCAGTGCAGTTGCATCCATAGGTATACTCATTTTCCCAGCAAGGGTCCACTTCTCTTTGCCTTCATCATACTTGTAGATACTGGAAATATACTTTCTTGGAGCTGTACTACCTCCTATAGAGTACACTGCACCTCCACAAGTCACCATGGTATGGAATACAAGACCAACTGGTAGATCTGGAAGTTTGATCCATGTGTTGGTATCCATATCGTACTTCCAGGCAGTCTTCAGCCCAGAGATCTGCTCAGTAGTTCCTCCAGAGACATAAATGAATTTCCCCAATGAAGCCGCACTGAGTGCGGCTGCTCTGTAAGGCATTTCTGTGAGTTTCATCCAGATATTCTCTCCAATTACATAGGCAAACACTTCATTGTTGAATTTACCCTGCTCCTTTTGTCCACCTAAGATTACTACTGAGTCCACTAGTGCCCCCTTCCTTTGTTGAAGCATCAGACTTTGAGGATTTCCTTGTTTACGTTCACTCAACACAGCCTCTATTCGGGATAGAGGTCCAGTGTGGTCTGCAAAGAGCAGCACCTCCCGACAGCCTGCGAGTAGTGTCTTGGTAGAAACTGCTGTTAAACGTATATAGGCAAAGCACTTTTTAAAATGCTTCTCCCTTTCATTCTTTTTATATTTTATCCACTGAAGGAGAGCAAGAAAGATCTGATCTTCGTTTTGCACATGAAGATTCTCCTCTTTGAGCAATCTGCTGAAGACGTGATAAGGGCATTGCATAAATTCTGATAGGCCCTGAGGCCCTACCCAGTAATGAAAGTTCTCTCGTATCCCGTCATAGGCAGCATTTCTTATGTCCTTCAGGTCATACGTGGTGGCTATCAGAATGTACTGGAGGCAGTTCTCCATTTTGAGAGACCGGAGGAGGAAGTCGGAGCAATGACTTCTTAAAGTTTGGGAACTGAAGTACTTGGCTCCCTTCAGCAGTTCCTCCACATTCTTCTCTGAAATCACAATCCGCCCAGTATAGAAGTAATCAAGCAGCTCCTCCATTAAGGCAGGGCTCAGGAATTTTGCATCAATGATAATAAAGAGTTCGTCATCTGCTTTCATATCATTGCTGGATATCAAACTCCTTATATGGAGAGACATAGCTGCTAAGACATTGAGGTGGGCATAGAAGACAGTCTGGTCCACGCTGAGAGCCACATCACAAAACTCCTTGTTCTTTCTTTGTTTGTTAAGGGCCTGTATCAGAAAACTGTTGTGGTTCTTTTCTGTAAACTGCATCTTCATGTTTAGCTGGGTCAAGGTTGTCTGAAGCTGAGGATGATGGTAAAAGCCTAGATTCTCTTGGCTTGTAAACCTCACTTTGAGTGCAGTGGAGTGATGTCAATAGATGTAGATACCAGGTCACAATTACCTGTGACCTATACTGAAATCAGCTTTTTGAAATTTGTAAAAGGTTCTGCGCAGCATTTGGATAATATACGAATGTTATTCCAGATCCAGTATGGATACACTCACTGTATCTGTTGGTGACTTCCTAAAGAAGCTGAGCCTTTTCTTTCTCACTGTGGCTGTGAGGTCTCAGGAAAATAAGAGCTAACAGCAAGGACAGCAAGGACACTCACTACAGATCGGAGCCTCTTCCTACTTAGAAGCTAAATACTGCTCACCTCCAGCTTTGCTTCAGAAAGAAAAATAATACTTATAATCAGAAGATAAATTTCTTACATTACCTAGAAAAGTTTTCCTCAGCTTGATATTCTTTGGCATGTTTGGATCACAAATGTCACAATTCCCAGTCATTTTGAATGGTAATTTGATTAATTAATCTGATTTTCCTTTCCCTAAAGGGTAAACAGGGCAGAAAGAGCAGTAAAATAAGAAACAAAAGAGTTAAAATAAATGCTGAAAACATCATTTAAATAATTCAAAGTACTTGGCCGCAGAAGTGCTAAATGCAACCCCCCCCCCCGAAGATAATGTTTTGTGCTTGGGAAAAATACAGAAGACCCCCCACGCTATATCCTGTAATTGTAGACAGCATCTGAAGATTACAAATAAATCTTTTCATTACAATATTCTCAGTGTATCAGCCTATTTTAATAACAAATTATAGTAATTGTTATGTAGAACAAGTACTTCTAAATATTTTTTTTTCATTTGCAATGATGATGAATTTAACCATTTGTGGCTTCAAAAGATTTGGACCAACCTTTTCAATTATTTGTGGAAAATTGATAATTTTTTAGATTTTTAACATAGGCATATTACGGTCTTGTTACGTTCATTGGATAATACCTACGTACATCAGTTTTAATTTTTAACTACTCAAGAAAAAATACATGTAAGCACGTTGCACTAGCAGAATTGTATTATGTAACCAAGGTATGGATAACTGTCTGGATCTAACTAACTCGGAAAAGATTGCAGCTGGTGTTCTGGGTGTAATGTTGTTTGGGCTTGGAAGCTCAGCAGAGTGAAACCTGGTTAAATACTTTGATAAAAGACCAGCAGGAATTCCAGGGCTGTAAATTAGAATGAGAGGGTTTAAAAAAAAAAATCCCAGAGGATAACAGTAAACAATTCATTGTACTTTCTACCACACTGAGGAGAATTTTACTTAGTCTTTTACAGCAGATTATTTCTTCACAAGTCACAAACATTTGTTTTCCTGTCTCACAATTGCTAAATCAAAGGCTCTTTTCTAAGAACTCTTGACTTTGCACTCTGCAGAGTGAACAATGGGCATTCCCAGATTAAATAACTGCTGACTTGCCTCCTAAATCTTTCAGTAACTTCAATAACCTTTTCCTGCTTTGCTTTACCACTTTTTTTTTTTTTTTTTTTTACCTCCAACTCTTTTGCTTCTATTAGCCCTGGTGGTCTTTAGCTCCGCTAGCTAGTTTTCATTCATTACGTTTAAACCAGATTGGTATCACAGCCTTGGAACTCTGCTGTTTTACTAGCAATTAGTTTTTAAGATGCAACAAATGAGCAATGCTTTCAGAGCCTCTTTTTCTGACATAATTGTTCCATAAAACCAGCATATTTTAATCCACAGAATGTTTGTTATATATTTACTAAATGTGAATGTTAGTAAATGTTTTTTTTTTATTATTTACCATCACCATTACTACTAATTTATTAAATTTGCATCCTCAGTGATTCTTAAATTTTAGAATTCCACTTCCCAAAATAGGGACAATTAAAAACATCTGCTTTCAATGCAATATTCTGAATGGATGTCTGTTTGAACAGTAAATTATTTTGTTATGTAGAATAAATATTACTTTAAAAACTCAGAAAATAAATTTGTTTTGCTTTACATCTCTTTGTCCTGTTTTGAGTTTCCCCTGTAATAATTGTATCATGATTTTTGAACTCCAGGGCTGAAACCTAATTCTGGAACTAAGTCCCACTAAGGTTTGTTTTTCAATGGACACGCACATTGTGAACATTGTGATTCTTGTATTGGTGAACATTGTTGATTCTTGTATTGGTACCTGGGGCTTGGCTAACTAATTTCCCCTACCTTCTGCTTTTGCACTTACTAATAACAATGTGGTCTGGAGACATAAATGAGAAAAAAAATATCCGTTCTGTAAAGCTAAGTTTCATTTGTATAGGGTATTTTGCTACAGTATTAAATGCACATTTTTTCCTTCTGGTTAGGTGGTAGACACACATCTTGCTTTAATGTTGTTTCTCCAGGACTTTCCTTTTGTTAAGATGTTACACTACTTCAGTAAGAAAACACTAAGAACATCTGGGGAGTGAGTCAGCCAGAAAACTGGTCATCCTCCTACAACATTCTCAGTTTAACCTAAAAGAATTCAAGAAGCTATGTACAGTGCTGTCTAATTAAAAGAGCATGGAGAACAAAAGTTGATGCAAAAGAGAAAGACTATGCTTCAATGTTAGGGAAGAAATCTTATGAGTCATGCAAATAGAATATATTTTTTACCTAATACTAGAATCTGGGAACAGGCAGTAAAATTCCTCATAGCAAAAGTTGGGGGACAAAAATATATTTTTGCACTAGTTATGTTCACAAACATAACATGCTAAGCAATAAACCATAATTTGTGAAGCTATAGTAACTGTGTAGAGAATGGCTAATGTAGTGTGTGTCATGGAGAGGTACATCTCAGCCCTCCCAACTAAATTCTGTGACCTTGCCTCTTCTGACTTAACATGGGACAGCTTCTGGTTATGGGTTATATAATGCTTCCTTTTTCCTACTGCCACTCAAACACATGTCGTTATGAATGTTGAAGCTGTTCTTTGAAGAGTTTTGACGTTTAAGTGAAATGAACTTTTTTTCATTCAAAGATTAGACTGTTATTTATCTCTTATTTTCAATCATCTAGTACAGTAGCAGTAGTAGCAATCTTAAAATGGATGCCCAAAGTGTATTTTCAACTGGTTATTGTCAACGTCGTCCTTTTTGGTGCTCCAAATAATAAGCCAAGAATCAGGAATGAAAGACTGACAGTAGTTTTTAATTCACTCCGTACAAACAAAGACAGCACTGGGAGTGGATTGCTCCCAGTGCTTTACATAGGCTACATGCGCCCACCCCACCCTCAGGAAATCAGCCCCACCCTCGTTAAACTACCCCACCCCTGAAGCCACCATCCGATGCATCAAGTAACACACAAGAGTCAGCTGGAGCGTTAGCGTTCTTCGTCCCGCCCGGCCGCTCTCTACTGCCTTGCAGGGTTGCTTTGTTCTGCACACGAAGCAGCTGAGCCTAGAGTATCCATCTAAGCACCGCACCCGTTGGTCGTGCGGCCCCACAGTTGGCTTCCGGCAATGAAGGACAACAGCTGACGGCCTCCTCCCCCTGCCAGTGAGTGTCGGCCCCGCAAGGCGAGCGTCCCGGCAGAGGCAATGGGCCAGGAGGCAGGTCAGGACAAGGGGAAGTCTTCTGGGTGGCGATGGAGTGAAACGCCAGCGGCTCGTGGCCCACCACTCGTCAGCCCGGACGAGTCGGCCTCGCGGGGCTGGACAGTTATGCACTAAAAATAGCGAAACTGAAATAGCTATGCCCAGTGCTTTTTTTGTAAATAAATAAATAAATAAATAAATAAATAAGTGCCGGAACTCATACAACCCGCCTTGCCTACCCTACAACATTTACCTTTGTAGTTGAAAAAAAAACTTCAATTTTTAGTGTATCTAAAAGACTAGGATTTTGTTCAAGGTAAGTTAACACTATTAATGTTACCATGCACTGTGTGGTTTTAAATTACAAGAAGGCATTTTATTAATCTTTTGGGACATTTACCACTGGCATAGCCATTTAGTTTAATGAGTGGAAATGTCAGCTTTCTATGTGCAATGAAATTGGCCCAATAAAACAAAATTTAATTGCTTGTAAAGATTGAATTATTGTTAAGAAGTTGTCAAACAAGGTGGAAAAAATTACATTTGGAGTTTAATATGGATATTGACTTGAAAGAAATTAAAGTTGAAACTTTGTCAATGAACAGATTACTTTTAATTTACCTTTAAGTTAAACCCAATTTAATAAATAGATCTGATTAAACTTTATACTGTAGGTCTACCTTTACATCTGACCAATACATAATTAATATACATATTATTAATAATACCTCCGAATCACAAGACATTGGCTTTATTCTTATTCTTCCCCTCTGCAGTTGGAATATAAAGTATAAAAGACTAAAAAGAGATTTTCATAGACATCCCAGCCTTTGAACTACCCAAGGAACTGAAACAGCAAAGTTTCGCTGTCGGGCAAGCTTCCACACCAGCCGCCTTTCTTTCCTCTCGCTTCACCTCTTTTTAACCTCACACACACACCCCACCTTCTGTAAGTGAAGGCAAAAGGCTCACTCACCCTCTCAGAAACATGGCCTCCATGTTTATGTGTCTCCCACCGCTACCATCGGCTTCCACACCACATGGTCTGACCCAGCCAATCAAGCCACATTCTGGATGTGGTGTTCCAGTGCCTCATGGCTCCTCCTACAGGAGGCAGATAGTGCCGGAGGGGACCCCACTCACACCAGCAGTGGGGCATTTTCAAAAACAAACGAGGATAGGAAGGGAAACAATAGGAAAAGAACCCAACTCTGGAAAATCCGTCGAAAAAAGGTCCTGGAACTCTGTTCCGGTGCTTTCTATGACCAAAAATGCCCTGGCTATATCAGAACTTTACATGTTATCATGTAATCTATATGATAACAATTTGGCTGCAAAGTGGTATTTCTTAATAACAGCCAGATATTGTGATGTTTTCTGAAATTATGGTAGATAAAGCTCTCCTTTAAAAACTGAAATTCATTCTCATACTTATTAGAGAATGATAGGGGAAAAGGAACTTGCTTCCATTCGTTTGCATGACTCAGTGATTTACTGCAATTAGAGAACAGGAATTTATAAAGAAAACACAGTAACATTTCTCATGAATAGGGGAAATGTTGAGTTAATCAAGTTCTATTATATTATCACTTCTCTGGATTGCCCAGCCAACAATTAGTAATTGCAAAATTACCAATTTCTTACAAAAATACTTCTATATCTTACTAATATACAGTACAACATTTAATTGCCTTCATTGCTCAATGGATTTGTTTCCAAATTCAGGGGATGAGAACTTCAGCAGACTCCCTATTATATTGCTATAATTTACTATAACTTTTAGTTTGGGATTATAGAGAGATTTCTATGAGGGAAGAATATGGCATAAAGTATGATAAATTTACCCTTTTTTGGTAACCTTGACTCAGTGTTGACTCCTGATGACTGCCTGGACAAGTTTTTTTGGCAAAGATTTTTGGAAATAGTTTGCCATTGCTTCCTTCCTAGGGCCAAGAGAGAATGACTGGTCCAAGGTTATTCAGCTTGTTTCATGCCTAAAATAGAACTCATGGTCTTCCAGTTTCTAGCCTACCTTAACTACTACACCAAACCAGCTCTTTACATTGGTAGAATGAAGGATACTGGGGTGTGTAGGTACAATATGGGTATATGTGAGCACATGTGCATATTTATAGCACATATATGCAAAGCGGCAGTAAAACTAATAAGAGACAAAAATAGAGGATGGCAGATCAGCGAGCAATAATTTTAGCTCACCATTTTGCCATCTTAAAGCTAAGCAGGTTTCAATCTAATCATTGGCTGAATGGGTGATGTTTTGAAGATTACCATGAAAACTGAATCATATGGTTATGTAGTCCTACAATACTGGACAACAGTTGAAAAAAATGTTAATAGCATTCTGTTATTTATCACATTAACAGAGCTATCTATCTTTAATTATCTGTAAGCTACCATAAAACCATCTATTTCCCTATTTTCTTTGAAAGTGGAAACTCGGGGCAAATCCTTCAAGTCCAGTGTTATTTTTAGGAGTTCATAAGATTCTAATTTACTAAATTGTCCAGTTTCATTCTACTGAATACTATATTTCATCACATGACAACCGGAAATACTGGGTGGCCTTATTGCTTTATTTTATATTTATATGAAGGCCATGCTTTTCAATTCTTCTTCTTTCATGGATACCTATGTGGAAAAACTACTACACTATATTGAATATGAATAGTGATACGTTGGCCTCCATATCTGAATCAGTCTCCAGGTCTGTATCTGATGTACATTCCTTGTGACTGGGCAAGGGATCCCCATAGATGCTTTATCTAAGAATTGATATTTTTCTCAAAATTTCAGATGGGCCCACTGAGTGAATCTGCAGGGAACCAAAATGAAGGCAGCTGTAAAATCATAGTAATAATTATAGTAACAATTACTAGGCATGCTTATTCAGGCAATAAAAGAATGTAATGTAAAAAGTTGCTGCTTAACATTTCAGTCATTCACAACAATCTTGGAATTTCGAGAGCAGCTAGGGCAAGTCAGTATGTTATTTTTTTCTTTTGTTTTCATCATTCTGAATTATTTAAATCACTGCTAAATTTACTGTACTTCCTGTGGAAAATGCTTGTTTTCATTTAAGCTGATTTTCCAATTTAACATGTGCTACGTGCTTTCCAGATGTAATATGGAAAACCTGCAAGTATAATTAAGTAGGCACAATATTATATGATAGTATTTTATAAAAATCCTTAAAATACTGTTGCCTTTAACCATTCTTCCCCTATCCTGTTAAACTATTGATTCAATAATCAAATTTATACTTGACTGACTTAATTCTCGCTCCTCCTACTCCCCAGTATCATAAGTTCTTTACAATTACCTCAGAAATAAAACAAAGAATTATCATGGGAAAATAAAATTGTTCTCATTTTTAAAATTAGCCAC